CCTAATTCTAATTACGCTACTCAAGATATGACTTTGAATAATATATGATGATAAAATATATCTTCAAACCAGTATCATGTCCACTTGTGAACATGTCAATAAACAGAATAGGAACACTCTCAAAGGCGGCACTAAGTATCCCACGGATTTAAACACTTATCTTTTCTCTGTAAATATGTGGCGTAATGCATTGATGGGATTATTAAATGCAATGATTGGATTATTGTAATACACAAACAAAAGTGTCAGAATTGTTGACATCCACTTTTATAAATGAACTTTTCACGTTTTTAAAATAAGCCCAATATTATTAGTACGGTTATTACCAAGTGTAAATAATTAATGAAAGACTTTCGGCCCACCTGACATGACTAGACTATGGTTTCAAGGATCATCGGGAGATGCCATCTGTTGGTTCTTTTCTCGAGACGAGTGTGAAATAGAATAAGTTACGTGCTTATACTTAAGTAACAGGTGACTCCAATTTGCTTTAACATGAGAGAATGGTTTCTTTAACAGAGTTGTAAAATTTGATGCGCATAAAGTATTAGAGCATTTGGCAACATTAGACAACTACTTGGTGACAGTGTTATTAGAGAAGAAGGCGAAGACATTTAGAAATCTATCTGACCTTAATTCTAAGTGTGCTATATTTTACGACATTTAGATTTGCTACTGAATATTAAAGGATGCATAAAGCAAACCATTTGATATGATTACATAGTGCTATAAAATTGCCCAGTTTGAGGACATTGAACAATTATAAACGTGTATGCAATTGACAGACGCTCTCTTATTTTGCTCTGTAAATTCATTCAATGTAACACCCTGCCTGCATTTCCAGAGGTTTGGATAAAGATCTAAATACGTGGTAGAAAAATGTCAATGGTAGGCTATTGTCACATTAGATATCATACGTAGTACTAAAATCAAGAGGCAGAGCAATTGGTCTTCTGATATTAAATAACCTTTTTATCATTTATATCAGACACAGTTATTCATTGGTGTAATGATACTATGATAAACCAGCAAAACAAAACAATATGGATATCATATGTACATATAATGTCCTGGTATAGAACAAATCAAGTATTGCATAAAGCATTTGTATAGTTTTCTTTCGATACGTTACATCATCCAAAGAAAAACAATGAGTAAGCTATATAGACTGATAAACGAAGAGTGCTTTTAAACAATTATCGCCGACCTTTTACGTCAAATCAAATTATTTATGATTAAGAAAAAGGGCGTGTACTTTGATTTTATTTGACAGACATTGTTCGTTATCAGAGTGACACATTCAATGAAAACAATACCACTGATTGCCATCTGGGAGTTAACAAAAGAATTACTAAATATGGTTTAACATATCAATAAAGGAAAGGAACAAAGTTTGCTTCCTGTCTCACCCGTTTACCGTGACGTAGGTGAAGTGGGTAAAATCATATTGACCTGTTGTGTTCTGGTGAAAAGATTGAGGGTTTTCAGATCAGCGATAAATCAAATGTCGTCCGATGTCTAAACTTTCCACCCGATGCGCCCTCACAGATAATTAGCGGAGCAAGTAAACATTTACAAATAATTGCGGCTTGAAAAGCGGAAAACATTTCGTCAGTTCATAACTATCACAATATAAACCGTAAAGACAGACTTTTAAAAGCAAACATTTGGGTACACATTACAAAAAAAAAGAACCCAACAAAAAACAAAGAAATAAAAGTACAGTGTCATCAAATAAATCTTTGCATTCAGTTATTTATCGAAATCAAAGAGAAAGTACAGTAGCCCAAGTAATGATTTGGTAGGATTTAAAAGAGTAACCACTTGATGTCACAAAAATCCGCGGGCGTGGCTATCATTTAATTTTAATTTTTCGACACACCTGATATTTAAGCTCTTTAAAGGTATTAAATAATTTTAAACAATCCTAATTATGTTGAAATAAATGGTTATTGCATCATGGTATTACATGTAGTGGTTTAAATGAGAAACTATGAAACTTCGCCAAAGACCATGACTAGGGAAATACAAATAATCGCCAAGGAGAATTCAAGGAGACTAAAGCTTTTCCAGAATGTTAAAGATTCAAATTGTCTATCTATCTATATAAATATATCTGACATCATGTACGTTTCATGTCTCAGAAGAAAATTTAAATCAAACGCAATGCCTGCTTTTCTTTTAATATTTATTGTACACAATTTCCAGCAAGTGTTAAAGCAATGCTTAATACTGTATGAATATAAAGCGAGTCAAAAACAATTTAAATCATAATACATAAGATTTTCATGGAGCACGTTATATATTCTAAACAAATACCAGATGCAATTTTCATTTCGATTTTAGAATATATTATCACGAATGCAAATGAAATAAATGCACTATGTGTCTGCAAAAAGAGACAAATTATGGCGTGATATTGGAACAACCATCACTTGCGCCAATATTGAGTACTTATGCTCTGCACCTAATAGAGAAAAGATAATTAGTCATTGTTCTATCAGAACAAAATACTTCAACCAGGTTAAATGCGTAAATGAAAAAGACCCGTGCGAAATTAAATTCAATTTTGTTAATGTTTATGTACTTTGAACGCTAACACCTGGTCAAAAACAATATCTTCCCCGCCATGCAAAGTAATGTTCTTGATCCATAATCAATTAAAATGACAATATCAATCGCGCTAAAAGCATGTAAAGTATTTATCAATCGATTTAACTAGTATCAAACTTGGTACGAAAAGCTATATGAAAACACGAATTCTTTGATAAAGCAGTCAACAGATTAGGGAATAAAGCCATAATCAGATCCATATATCATCTCTTCAAAAAGAAAAAAGCAGATATTCGTCTTAAGGGGTATATCCGTATTAATAAGTTGATATCATAACCGACATGAATTACACACATATACGTTAATAATATAATTCGATAATAAAATCCTTTCACATCCAAAGTAATCGAATCGGAAAACACTTGAACCTAGCATCTATTTGAAAGCTATTAACTTGTTTTTCCAAGATTACTATGAGAATACATTCCCATACAAGGAACAGGTATTAATGTACGGCTATATCACATTTATGTGCTGACAATACCCATATAAAATCATATTACAGAATGTATTGACTTATTTACATAACGTCTTCTCATTAAAATTGTTGAAGTGTCCTTAAAACACCTAGAAGTAGCTTCGCTCACGTGTGGAATAAAAAGCTCAGCCCGATTATAGATGGGATTACTACAGACAAGTGAGAATTTAAACCTTTATGGAAATGTTAAAATATATGGGGCAACTACCGGTATATTATTTAAAAGAACAGAGAACAAACGCACCAAGTACTTTTGACACAGTCATTCTAAAGTCATATAACGAATTGCTTTGTAATGCTTACGATTTAAAATGTTTCGTACAATTTTACTTCATTCACAAATTTGTCTTACTGTTATCTTTCATTTTAAATGTTTTCCTTTAAAGGATATATAACTTTTTTTCTTGTGTAAATGATAGGGCTCTTATGAAGCTAAAACATTCAAATTTAAACGTTACAAACAGACCGACACGAAATATATCTGGAACAATTTCTTGAAGGTTTAGCATACATTAAAATAAGTATATGTATCTGATTTGATAACTAAGATATTTCGACGCTTAGTTCAGTAATTATATCTGAAATATAAAAAAGTGTAGGTGTTTGTAGTAAAAGTACAGTAAAAAAATCCATGTATCTATTTATGTGATGCGTCATTTACCATGATTCATTCTAAAAAGACATGTTCCAGAATTAAGATCTTAAACAGTGCTGAATGGTGTGCCATTAATAACAGACAATGCTTTTATATGGCCCAACGGGACACTTTATACAGTAATAACGAGTAGATTAGGAAAGCCAGAATGTGTTTAAATGTCTGCAAATTTTGCAGGGATAGTTCCTAACAAGCAGAAACACTATTTTCGTTATTATCATACACGTACTGTATGTCATTCTTGAATTAGCTTGAAACTCAATTTTTACGATTTCGATGTATCTATATAGTAAATCTCTTATTATTACTGCAAAGTTTTAGTAATACCTTCCAGATATGTAAGGTCTCGACAAATAAACAGTCAGAATTTTTATTCAACGGTTGGTACAAAAATTCTCTTACCGTTTATTTGCGTATTGTACATAATTTAAAATATATAATATGCAACAATAATTCCTGTTGTTAAGTTTGTTTGTACAGGGGGATTACCTTGGAAAACCCCACATTTTCCGAGTTCCGAATAGTATCTATATAGTAAATCCTCTTATTATTACTAGCAAAGTTTTAGTAATACCTTCACAAGATATGTAAGGTCTTCCGACAAAATGAAACAGAACAGAAATTTTATTCAAGACTTGTACGTGAAATATCATCTTACCGTTTATTTGCGTTAATTAATGTAGATCTACTTAATATTGTATTACATAAATTTATAAAATATATAAATATGTAACAATAATCCAGTAAACAATTCTGAGAAAAGAGAGGAAACAATATGCAGGGTTCTTGCCTAGAAGATTATGCAATATTTATTGTAATGATTTATATTAGCAAGGATATTAAAACTAAATTAAAGATTTTAATATTTTTGTCTAGGCGCATAAGTCAAATTTTCATATTTTAAAATTCATTCTTTTTTTTGTTTGTTTTTATATTTTTGTGTAAGTATTTCAATAATACTTGAATCGGCTTATTATTTACAGCATCAAATAAAAATGGTAGATTTCATACTTCAAATCAACATTTCGACTAAATTTCTGAAATATTAACGAAATAAATCGGAGTATTCCGACTAAATGTCATATTTTTTATAAGCAGAAAAGTTTATAGTGGTATCATTAATGACTGCCGGATTTCACATTAGGCCTTGTTTATCTTATAGGCCGTTTTCCAAAAGACGATAATACAAACCGCAATTTTCCAAATAATTTCAGAATTAATGTTTTTATCTACTGTTTTTTCGTCTATTTTCAGCTTATAATAAAGAAATGCACTTCTATTACAACGTTACAACGCATTCCAATGATCATTTATTAGAGTCAGAGTTTCATTTATTTCGGATGACACCAAAGTCGAACCACACTCGTCACTCATTGCCACATTCTCGTCTTTCACATTTAATTCAGGTAAGTTTTTTTTTTATTATATTTCTCCTCACATAAATGATAATTATCAAATTTGATTCACATGCGTCAAGTACCATGGAACCTGATAAAAGCGCCAGGATTTTGATAAAAAGATCCATTTTATGCTGTCAGTAATTTGCATATTTCTGTAGTGAAATGAAATGTTTTGCTGTTTTAGATAAATAATTGCAATTGATTGAAGCAAGCAAGGAATAATCTAAATATATCCGTAAAATCCTGTATTTTGAAAATCTGCCGATCTTACACAATTTGGCTTCTACTCTTCAAAGAAATGCTACGTTTGATCGAATCCGTAAACAGTTAAGCAAAACTGCAAGTACATTTTAACGTCAGGAATGGGTATCTATTTAGCAAAATTGGTTGCTTGGACACTACCAAGATGATATCAATGTTTAGTCTTTTTTGTTCTGTTTATAAACGTTTACAGTATATATGATAGAAAACTTTCTAATTTGTTTTTTCATGTATCTTTTTTTCCAGATAAAAGTTTATCAAGTTTTAGATCCTAATAATATGTATTCCGATAATGGTCGGTTGTTACTAGATCATAAAAGAGTACGGACGCATGATAGAGGATGGGTTATATTCAATGTCACACGTGCAGTGAGAGATTGGGCAAGTGGCAAATTAAAAAATAACGGTATATATATATTGTTTTATTGTTTGCAGTATTGAGTTATTTAACATTTCTGACACTCGACGCCGTTGTAATTGCCTAGAAATTATGGTATCATTGACTAAGAATTAAATTTATATATCTTGTTATGTTTTTCTTTTACGAAATGCTATATTTTCTATTGATAGCTTCGATAACTTATGCGCGTGTAATATACTACTAAATGTACCAGTTTTATAATAAAACAGGAAGATATAAACTTTTATAGTTCTTGTATTTACTATTTTCAAATAAGAATGACTACGATCTTAAAAGGCAAAAGCTATTTAACAATACTAAAATCATTTTTTTTTATAATTATTTAAGGATTTTTAGTAATATCTGAGACTATTCAAGGAGATGAATTGGGCCAGGATGAAGTTAGATTTGCTCAACGTAAAGCCCATCACGATACAAAACAACCAATACTTGTTGTTTATACAAATGATGGCAGACATAGAAAACCGCACTATATATCACCTCAAGATCAAGGTACGTATTATAAAGCGCTTCGACTTATAACTGAGCAAATATGACATTTTCTTCTGAAAATTTATAAATTTGAAGAAAAATTAGAGTAAATCACTAAGTTTTTTGTAGTATATTGGTTGGCATTTTATTCGTTAAAACATTGGCGGTTTTTTGATTGACTTCACTTTTCAAATTTTCCATTTAACGTTTACAACATTAAAAGCATTTAGATCCTAATTTCAAAATACAAACTATATAAATTCTTTAATATGACCGTATTAACCTTTCCTACCTCACAAACAACTACATATATTTTGTCAGTTATTGCTTCTGCAAAATTATTACCACTATCATTTGTATCAAAGATTCATGGCGCATGCTTTATTCGACGCAATATTGTATTAATATGATAACATTAATGGTAAAAAATGTAATACACTAGAACAAACTAAGTCCTACATAATTATCAAGTTATCATTGCAAATATTTCATTAACAGCATCCACGCTGAATCAATTTCGTACGTATGTGCAGCGGCCTACCTAAGTTTTAGCAACTAATGTATTGCAAGAATTATGTTCCTGGGATTTTCTTAGACGTGATGAATTAGGAGCGACAGTATTAAAATTCAAATTTTGGTGAAAACAACTAATTCAAAGGATTCGGAATATGATAACTAATAATAGTATACCGGTATCTAGTTATATAGTAATGAACTTAATGCACACTGTGTAATCGCTCGTATCACGTGACTCAATGATAGTTCATGTAAAACGCTTATCCTAAAAAGAGTTTTCGTTTTAATTATCCTTCCAATTTTTTTATCTGTAATTATATAAGACGGAGACTAAAAAAGTTATAGAAATGTGTCTATTGTGGAGGCATTCCTACATTAAACATAATTAGTTCAACATTTTCTCTGACTATCAGATCCATTTCACATAGACACTGCCCAAAGTTTCAATTAGCCCTGTCTAATATTTTCAAGGGGTTTAGAGAATTTTCAAGATTAATGAAAATCTTCCATAACATACCTGCTTGTTATTTTCGAACTAGGATAGACAAACCATTGTATTATTTGTCTAGGATGGAAGTGATGGCCTTATGGTGGGGATAAAATTATAGGTTTAAACAAGATTAGAGAGAATCTTGTTAATAAGTTTTAAAGGCGTGTTAATCTCGTCGGCGAGACCTTTTTATAGAAAAGACGCCGTTTAGATAGAGTTATACTTATGCTGGCAGTAAAAAATAAAAGATTTTCATCCAATATTTTTTTTATATTGGAGCCTGTTGAAATAAAATTTAACAATTGATTTTAAAATTGGAATAGTCTTTTGTTTATGATTATATATTTCAGTTTTGCGTCTACATTCTAAATTGTTTTTAATTAGTAAAACATGTATTATGTGGAAAACAGTTTTACTTGAAATAAAACATTATTAGCATATTTTTTTTCTTACCCCATTTAACTCATAAAATAAATACACCAAATCCGTACACTTAATGTTACTGTAAGATCTTGGGTAAAATATCGGTAAATGCTTTGAAAATGATAGGAAATAAAAAAACCAACAACAAAAAAACGCACAAGACGTTAAAGCATGCTTTCATTCAAAACAATAGAAGAAACAACATTTCCTGAACCAAAACATTGATATGGAAGTTTCATGAATTATTTGTTAAACAACCAATTCATTACAATATCAAGAAAGATTTATGCAATACCATCATATAAAGAATGCAAAACAATTCGATGAGTTGGTAATATGGTAAACAATTTTACTGAGAATATTTTCATTTTTTATTGTTTCAACATACGTCATACGGAATTGCGAGCGTTTGATGTTAAAAGTCCACGCCAATTCGTTTGCATTGCCATCAAAAGCCTTATTCAGATCATTAACTACCACTTTAAAGAAGTTGATTAAAGTCATCCTGTACCTCACCTTCTTTTCTAAATTCATAATGTTTAATGTCAAATGTGTGATTTGTTTGTTAAGCTTGCCCCCGCATTTTCGTTGTATAAATTAGGAACTTTATTAAAACAAGCTTTTTATTTTGTAAGTTATGATTGTTAATTTATCGATATATTAAATATTGGCCCATAGTTCCATGACGCTTTAAGAATAGTTTATTGAGCAAAGATGTCTTGTGTCAATGCGAAACCGATCAATGGAATTTCCGTTTCACTCACAACGCATTTGTTGAATCTATTTTCAGAGTATAAGGAGATAACACGTGATATCAAACGATTGGAGAAAAAATACCAGCGCAAGATGCGTTACAGATACGATAATGCCGGCCTTCAAGCGGCAATAAAGTTTTTGAATGAAAAGGACAGGGAAGAATATGGACATCCCTTTTTCACAAGGAAAACTAGTGTTAATAATAGTAGACGTAAAAGAAGTACTGAGTTAGATACAAATGTAAACAGTGTTAAAAGCAAAAGAAACAATCGCAAAGGTAAGAAAGGAAAACGGGACACTGAACGCCGTTTTAGTAAACATAGAAAGTCATGTAACAGGCGACAAATGTATGTTGACTTTGATGAAATAGGATGGGCGGGGTGGATCATCTCACCTAAAGGTTACAATGCTTATCATTGTAAAGGTGCGTGTCCTTTTCCACTTGGTCAAAGTCAGAGACCAACCAATCATGCGACAGTGCAAAGTATAGTTCACGCCCTTAGAGTAGGAAAAGGCGTCTCTACGCCTTGTTGCGTTCCTAATAAGCTTTATTCCATCAGTTTACTGTATTTTGACGATGCTGAAAACGTCATTTTGAAGCAATATGATGACATGGTTGCAGCCAGTTGCGGTTGTCACTGATAAGCGTGTTCAAGTGATAGAATAATCCTTAATAGTGCTGCTGAAATAAAGAATGTGCAAACAATAGGTCGCGAAAATCAATTAAATCGAAAGCGAGCACAGCTTATTTTCGCACCTGAGGTTAAATAGAAAACATTTAACCGTCTGTCGTGAATAGAAACTTGAACAAACCAAGGTGAAACACTTGTTCTTGGAATAACGTTTTGTCTTACAATGTCAAACATATTAAAATAATATGAAAATGTTAAGAACGCGAATAGTAGGTTTTCAGAAATGAAATGTTCGCAAGAGAATTATTTGGAATCCGTGAAAGAATGAGGTAACAATAAGGGTGCCAGTAATGATTTTCTAGTGTTATATTTAAAGCATTTTTGTTTTCATACACATGTGTCCATCAACGTGAACTTCGGCAAAGGCTCCGATAAATCGACTTTGTCAAAATATAGAAACATACAAAATAAAGTAGATTAAGATATGACATTTACAGTTCTGAACAGCAAATGACTCACAAGCAACAACTTTGAAACCTTCTTATAAGAAGCAGATTTACCTTTAATGCTTGCATAAATTTGGAATGATCTAATTAATTTCAATAAATTTAAACTGATCTAAAGGAGCGTGTGTTAAAACATGTTTAATACGAACGTTCATGAACGTTATTTTTTATGTATGTTTTGTTTATTTGTTGTTGATTGTAATTTCATGAAATAAAATATGAAATATGTATGTTGTTATATGATAATGTGGTATATCATTCGTCAAAGCATAAAGTCAAGAAAAGAAGTAACTTTGCTCCAGCAAACTTTCAGGTCCTTTACAATATACAGAACGGATACGATTTGTTTCGGTCTAACGAAGCTAAGGCATGGAGTTTTCTTATATCGTATAAAAGGCGACTTAAATTAAGAACGTACATTATTTATTTGTTTATTACTGCAGCACATTTTTACAAAGCGATAGTACAATAAAAAAAACCTATTGACGATGTTAATTCGAATGCCAAGGCGTCTCCTAAAATTGATTCTGATTGTCGGGCATAGTATTACCATATTAGTACCGAATATCCGCTGGATGTTGTTAGATTACACTGTTACACCATTTGCCTTTGTCACATGCTTGAATGGCTTTTTTTAGAGACGACTATGTGAGCCGCGTCACGACAAAACCAACATAATGGGTTTGCCACCAGCATAGATCCAGACCAGCCTGCGCATCCGCGCAGTCTGATCAGGATCCATGCTGTTCGCTTACCAACCCTATAACAAGTAGAGAAACTGATAGCGAACAGCATGGATCCTGACTGCGCGGATGCACAGGCTGGTCTGGATCCATGCTGGTCGCAAACCCACTATGCTGGTTTTGTCATGGCCAACTCATGGGTTCTTCGAGGTGTTCTGTATGAGCTTTACTCGTGATAAAAAGGGTCCTCTCATTCTTATCACGGTCTGTCCAACTAATGTTTCATAAAGGATTGATTTTCTTTGGTTTGAATCGATATTTCATTGAAGTATGCTAACTTACTGAACATTCAGTTTTGAAATACTGACACATACTTTCGTGATACTCCTATATGATGATACTATTAAATACTAAAATGTATATAGCAGCACAACAGTTGTTTATGTTGTGTGGAGGCCGTAAATATCGTTCTGTACATTCAATCAGAAGGTCGATCAGCACAACGTTATTGTTGTGTTGTGTTTGTAGTACTTGAAGTTCTTTATATTTGGCGTTTTTCCCAGTGGGTGGTTCCAGTATTCCTTAATTGAATACTGTATAATCAACCACAGGATATGTTGCCTGCTTTTTAAATGTGTCTTTGAACAGCTTATCTGTGACCCCTGACCTCCTTTCAAAATTCCATTTTATTAAGTTTCGCCAACTGTTTTCTCCTATCGGGCAAACGCAATTTTGTTTTACTTGGGGACCATACGCCGCTTTTCATGGAATGGCACAGACGTGTTACATTGAAAGTTCCATGATAAACACACAGGCAAAAGTATCGGACCTGGGAAGAAAAAATATGACCAGATTGATAAAAAAACCTGTGTTCATCTTAAAAGTGTAAAAAAAAATGTATATAATGACCCCCTTTAAAAATATACTATAAGTTAAGAGAAGGCCGGAAACTCCAGATTCGAGCCTACGAGCAAGGGATTCATTTCCCGGGCCGTTGTGAAAACAATTGGCCAGACAATTAAAAAAAACTTTTATCACTATTTCACGTTTATATAAAGCTTCAAAATGAGACCAAACCCCAAGTCTCTAGCCCTTAACCGTTCATGAAATATCTATCAGGAAACGAGCGACTTCGTGCTAAAAATCCTTGGTAGACATAATTGCGGCACAACAATTTCGGTACGTAAAACATAGACTAATACATGTATGTCAGCTGACTACGGGTCAAAATTACTTGAATTTACTAAATAATATTACTAAAATACATTAAGTTGGACCACTCACAACCATCAGTAGCATCTAATACACACGAGATTCGAGTTTCAAACATTTACACGGTCTTTCAATCGCTTTCTACGCCATTATGCATCTTGTGTGAAACGTTCCGGTTTTCGTTGCTATTGGCCAATCAGAAGACTCGTTACAAAATATCGAACAGCTGATTGACAATGGCGTAGAAAGTAATCTAAAGACCGTGGAAAGGTTTGAAATTCGAATTTTTGCGTGTATCAGATGCTACTGACGGTTGTGAGTGGTCCAACTTAATGTATTTAGTAATATTATTTAGTAAATTCAAGTAATTTTGACCCGTAGTCAGCTGACATACATGTATTAGTCTATGTTTTACGTACCGTATTGTTGTGCCGCAATTATGTATACCAAGGATTTTTAGCACGAAGTCGCTCGTTTCCTGATAGATATTTCATGAACGGGAAGGGCTAGACACTTGGGGTGGGTCTCATTTTGAAGCTTTATATAAACGTGAAATAGTGATAAAAGTTTTTTTTAATTGTCTGGCCAATTGTTTTCACAACGGCCCGGGAAATGAATCCCTTACTCGTAGGCTCGAATCTGGAGTTTCCGGCCTTCTCTTAACTTATAGTATATTTTTAAAGGGGGTCATTATATACATTTTTTTTACACTTTTAAGATGAACACAGGTTTTTTATCAATCTGGTCATATTTTTTCTTCCCAGGTCCGATACTTTTGCCTGTGGATAAACAAACGCCTTGTGAACACATCTGCGGATGTTTCTAAAGTCAAAACTTTTTAATGTTAAATGTTGAGTTCTGCCTAAGGCGGTGCTAGGGGTCGTTGACGGTAGCTTGCAATTCATAGTCCCGTCCTTGAACAGGCTCAATCAAACCGAGCCTGCAACATTATCAATTTTTCCGTTTTGGACGTCCTTACGTTCTCAAAGGATTTTATTTTTTGTATGTTATACAGAAAAAAGGGGAAAACCGAGAAAAAAAGAAGACAAAAATCAATACATGATTACTTAGTATATGGACTTGAATAACTATTCAAATAAAATACGTAGCCATTTTGCAACTGTGTTTCTAAAAAGCAATTTCTCAGCCATTCCCGTCATACTTCGGAAAAGGATGATTATTGATTATCGGCGAGGTGTTTCGAATGTTGATTCCTATATCTTGCACGGTATTCTTTGAGATAGAATTTACTCGATATCTATTCAATTTAATATAAATTTGTTTTAATACACATAATTCATGTTATGTGTCAAATTTAATATTAAGCAATATCATAATATAATTAAGAAAATTTCTTGAAAGAATATAAAAGAAAACGACATGTAAGTGGAACTGCAGACTAAACAGGCGCTGAAAACCCCACAACATATATACATGTATATTTTTTTTTGTTTTTTGTTTTTATCAAAACTACATACAAACGTGAAATATGTTTCATGAAACAATTTTATTTGTTGGCCTCATGTATAAATCACACAATATCATCGCCTCTGAAAAGCAAATGTGAGAAAATGAAATAATTTATTTGCGGTGTCTTCAGCTATAAGATAATAATCGCTTGGTGTAGATATAACTTGGGTGGTATGAAATTTTAAAGTTTTGTTAAAATGTGTACCAGTGACTATACCGGTGCTGCGTGAGATTTGATATGACGTGAGGTAAAAATTACGGGCACCCTATCGTACAGATCAAGTGCAATAAATCAAACAGATAATGATGCACAATAGGTTTTTATGCCTATAAAATGTAATTGCTTGAAAGTTCAAAAGCTAAAGAGCCGAAAAAATAGTTTGAGTGGGAATAAAGTAGCTAATACGCTGAATTAATGACACAAATGGGGAAATATGATATAAAAATGTCAAAAGATATATCAATTATGTAGCAATCAGTCTGCCGCAGACGACCAAATGAATGTAAGGGGCATCGAGGGTGATTCAAGTTGCATTTCTGTAATATTTCTACCCTGTCGTTTTTGTTATATATGCATAAGTCTTGTGAAATGAAATTATGAGGAAACAGTTATATAATATACTCTATTCTTATGAAGTATTTTTGTAGGTAGGTTTTTTATTACGTCGAGCACAGACAAGGCCATTTCTCGTCTTTTCAGTTTTTTACTGATGGAGGAGGATCTAATATGCAATCACCAAGGTCACTTCTTCAAAGAAGCGATGTCAAGTTATTGACATCATCTTGTCTACGCCAAACAGTCCGATAGATGATCTGCTACACTAGCCTGCAAAAGAAATATTTAATAGCTTAAGATTTGTCTTGATTTTTGATAACATTGTCCGAAAAGTAATCTTATTTTATTTTTCAGTGTGTAATCGCATTTATCAATTCATTTATCTATAATAGTGTTCTTTGTTTGTTTATTTGAAAACACAGCTCAGGACAGAAAAATACTGTGTAATCTCGGTGAATCTAAAAGAACCAAACTTAAACATGATCAGTATATGTATTTGATAAAACCGGACATCATAAACAAATATATTATTATTGTGATGTTATAGCCACTAACATATTTAAATGTTATATATAATGTAAACAGTGAATGCTGGTGTGATTCGCGCCAATTCATTTTTTTTAAGATGAACGTAACATATTCTGTTTATGGTATGAACTTGTATAAAGTTGTAGTCATTTATAAGACCTTTAACACGTTGGACAATCTGAAATATATTAATGTAATTGTTATACTTGTATACTTGTATTGTCTTATTATTCCGTTTTTTTTTGTTAATTTATTTTCTATTAAGCGCATAATGCTCACTTAATTTTTGTTGCCGAGTATTTATGGATGTAGCTAGGTTGAACAACCTTACATGCACATCAGGTAGTCTTGTAAATTATTTCGCACACCATTGAGACAAAATTAAGTAGTAGTTATTAAAAACAAAACAATATTCATGTAGTTTATATGACATAGTTTTTAAAAAGTAACGTTTTAATGTGATTTTTGTGTGTACAAGTTATAGGCCACATACTATGAACTAAGTTTCACTTGCTGACAAAATTGTTGAAAATTCCAAATCTACCTTTTAGATTTATTCAACTTATAGATTTTGCTCATTTTCCCGAACTGTCAAATGTTACAGTTATCAAAATTAAAATCAAAAGACATTCAGCATCAGCGAAAAAAGCAAAAAACAAACCAAACGAAATTAAAACCTGATTTATATTACATAGATTATATGTTTATATGTTGTAACTTAGTATTAGTTTATGTTATTATGTTATTATTGAATTATAAGGATTATTCTGGATATAATCAACGCACCGATTAGCATTGTATTGAAAACTCACCAAAGAAAGACGAACTATCTGTCAGGAAGCATTTCTTATTGTTGAAGTTTGGTAACTTATCAAACAACTTATCAAACGACACGCTTTTAGAATTGTTCGTTAGGAATGTCGTTAACAAAGATGAATGTAGCCAACAGACAGTTTTGTTTTGGCTGTCAAACAGACATGATATGGATTTAAAGGTAGGCATCGTGATATTCTCAATATAGGTAATGTTCTAACAGCATTTATTTAAGAACTTCTATAATATTTGCTTACGTATAAAACTCTATATTTATTTTTACGCGGCTTTTAAACATAAATGAATGAAGAAATAAAAATTTAATGGTAAACTTTGTTTAGAATTGATGAATATACTCAAAATTTAACTGGAGATCAAAACTCGAGCAATAATAAAATGGTTACAGACCCGGTATGTTTGCTGCTTTCGAGTGCTAGTGTGTGGAAACCAAAGGAAACATATCCATATTACTAGAATATCCTAGATAAACCATTGTGCATTATTTTGTTGGACACCAGCGGACATCTGTGCAAAAACCACCGATCTTCTATTAAGACAGCTGTTAAGCTTGCTGGCATGGAATAGCTTTTTAGAACATTTCTTGTCTGAATATAGGAAAGGAATATAATTAAATAAAAAAAGAAAACACATAAATTAGTCCTTTAAGAGATGGAAAAACCTCACTGGGTTTATACCTAGTTTTTCTCTTTATTATTCCATGGTATACCATGACATTGTCAACAGTGCGACATCATCTTACAATGGTTTACAACAACATGCACTATATTACCACTAAAACAGGACATTGCTAACGCGTGGCATACCCCACCATCAGACAATCTGACAATGTCATTATTAACTCGTGTTATACCACCACCGCACCATGACATTATTAACACTGTCAACGCCATGCAATGACAATATTAAGCATATATCTTAAAGATCTTAAAACAGATTGTATGAAGAAAATCAAAACAAGTCAAAGAACAGCCGTAGTTAACGGAACGTTGAAATATTCACCTTTAACGCAAATATTTCTTTTGTTTAAGAAGTACGTAGTATAATGTAAGATGGCGTCAGTGGAAGTATATAAATCAAGTCTACAAAGTAGCTTAATAGAAAAAGTCGCTCAACGCGGACGAACATTTAAATGTGTGTCACTGTAAGAATTTCTTATCGGTTGTTAAGTTATCAGTTTAGGGCTAATTAGTATTTATGAAAAATACCACATACATAGAATTAGTATGCCAATCAGTCATTCCATTTACCGTTTACGACAGGAAAAAATAAAACAAACGGATATGGAACAAAACGTCTAGTAATCACCGACGAGTGTGGGTTGTAATAATTGACAAAACAAAATAATACAGATTTACATGTACGAATTTATTTTATAAATACATTTTTATGATTTATTGGGATGTAGGCCTACTTTTCGTCAGTCTGGTCCCTTCTGGTCTTTTTGAGTCAGCAAATATCAGAGACCGGCAAATAGTACATAATTTCTGGTTCTTCATATATTAATTTGTATATATTTCGAGGTGAATGTGGATGATCCATTTTTGTTGTGTCAAAACAATACACACATACACACACGCACGCACACACACACACGCGCGCGCATTTTTAATGAAAGTTATATAAACATGTTAAAAGAAAATCCATTCATTTTACTTTTCTTTACAAAATATATTTTTAAGTCTAAGAGTAAATATATTGAATAGAGGGCTATTGCACTTTTTCCATGCATTTGTATACGCAAACGCTCGAGGGCGCATTTGAAGCCCGGGACCGAAGTGCGGTAAAGGGCTTCTGCAGGACCTGGTGTTGATGCACGAAACAAAGGTGCATTAGCGCTTTAATGAGCTAGGGACTCCTGCTTACATTTCTATACACGTACAATGAGACACTTCTAAAGCATCATTATTTTTCTTTTAATTTCCCAAACATATTCAATATATCTTACTTTAATTTCACCAGCACTAATATTACAACTTTATGAATAAGGCTTAAATGAACTTATTCTTCTAATACTAGCTCCACGTGCATTATATGTATAAATTAAAGCTTCTGCACAAGGAAATTTCTATTTTCACATAATTTTATATTTATGTATTGTCAAATGCCTTTAAAACCGTTAGAAGATTACCATGAAGTAAAAGAGCGCTTAAGCCATCCAACAACAAACAAGTCACAAAACACGTAATTTTACACTACTTCTTTGAATACTAGTTTTATAAACTTGATAATTATTTACAAAAATATGAAACGCTGTGAGAAGTTAAGAGAACAGTCTTATTCCAGACAGCGTCTCCGAGCTTCCGGGCGGGTTATGATGACCATCATTTAAGACGATGGTACGATATGAGTCCTTCACCCCGCAACTTCATTGGCCATCAGTCTCTAAGAGATTCGTAAGGTATTGAACAACTTTGAGCCGTATTGAACAGGATGTGCACAAGTGAGAGTATCAACCGCGGAATCTACATGAACCGGGGCAGGACCTGATGCAGGAATATATATTGAATTATCGTACAGAACCATATGGATGTCTATGAAAACAGAGCTGAGCAAAATGTAGTCATGCCCAAGATGGACACATTTAATATGACTGCCTATTTCTGTTGTTAGTGCTTTGATAAAATAATCGTTCCCTGTCTTTTTGATTCTTTTGTTTTTCTTTTGTTCAAGTGTAATACGTGTATGATGTGCCTTTGTGAATTGACTACACTATTTACATAAAAGTATTGACTCATCTGTTATAATCTCAATAATAGCGAATAGAACATTATAATTCCTCGGAAGATAGCTACTTTAGAAGTCAATGTACACAACATGACCACTAGGCTTTTCTCTTCCCCTCGATACGTGTACGTCGTAGAGAAGGCACAGGACACCGACAGAAAATTTAAATCTTGGCTGAATTTTTCACCAAGGACACTTTGATTGGTTCAGATCCAGCGCTGTTATTGTACATAAAGGGTAGGTCCTGGAGACCAAACTACCCGTTCGTCACTGTGCAGTTAAGCTTTAATCGAAATTTACGATTCAGCTGCCGATGTTCCGACTTAAGTCGAGGGAAGTGGCACTAAGATATGGCAGGGACGACGAGGAAGTGTACTGGGATTCGTGACCTCTGGGCATTCTAGTTTTGGAAAAGTGATTTTAAGTCATTTTTACTATACATGTCAATATAGACTAAATGATCCCTAAAGGGCGGGGCAATTTTAAATCTAGGGGCACGACTTTGGTAATTTTTGTTGAGGTCTAGGAGAAATTCTTAATGCCAAAAACTAAGGTACGGGGATTATACTTTCACAAAAGACTTAAATGTATTTTCTTATAATAAATATGTCAACATAACTAAGTGACCCCTCAGAATGAGGCCAATTTTGATAAAAGAGGCATGGTTTACATAACCTTTGTGAATGATTACAATGTGATGCTGCATGCCAAATAACTACTAACAAACACTTTGCATTGTTGTTTCTGAGAAGAGACTTCATTTTTGAAGTCTATTTTTAACACTGGAGACCTACGTGACCATTTATTGGCAATTTGTGACTTGCCCAGGCTTGGATAGTTCTTGTGCGTTTTGGTCAAAATTTACCTTGTAGTTCACAGGAGATATTGTTTAAAGAAATTGTGGACAACAACAGTGGACAACTTGCCATCACAAATGTCCAGCTCTGAGCAATTTCTACTCAGGTAAGCTAAAAACAGGTGATCATTATAAATTCTGAGTGTAATTTTATTGTCATCAATGCTTCCAAGCCATCACTTTGTTTCCAGATTTTTTTTTCTTTCATTGTAAAAAGTAAATCTGACCATTACTTTCTGGCAAGATCATTGTTGACACTAGAGGAGAGAGCATCATGCTATCACAAAAACTCACCCTGTACTTTCTGTACTTGTATGCTAATAATAATAATATATGATGAAACATTTTAGTGATTTTAAACAGTTTATTTATCAATGGTTTGTAAAACATTGCATATATGCTCACAGATCATTCATAAACAAAACAACTTGGACCTAATGCAACTTTTTATGTTCAATCTTTAATCAATACAGTTCTCGAATTTCAACTTTTCTGCCAAAAGATATTCAACATTAATAATCATATCTTTATAAATATGTACCTGTATGTTTTTCTTACTACTCTTTAAGATGTAAAACATAATTGTCAATTTAAAAAGCTATGCAATCCTGAAAAAAACAACAAAAGTTGATGAGTTTTATTCATTATAAATTATATTAACACTTTCTACATTTTTTATCTGTTTTTATTAACCTTTGAAGTTCTAGCCCAAAGATTTCCTTTCACATTTTGTTGAGAATTTTCTGGTTTTGCTCCATCAAACATGAGATAATTATGTGGTTTCATTGGTTTGCAATTATCTGAAGTATAAAAAAAGAAATTTCATCTTACACAATGCTGTTTTATAAGTAGAGGCAGTGTTTTGTTTTTTGTTTTAAACACTTGGAGGGGCATAATGTTCCTATTAGCCATTCAGTATATTATATTGGAATTTAGAAGAACTACCTTTTGATTTCATTTAAAGAGTTTCTTACTTTAAGCTCTGCCAGTGACAATCCTGGTCAGTAAAGTTAAACCATTTGTCTATATTTGCAAGGATTAATCCTGCCAAGTCTCACCAAAATCTGCCTTGAGGAGGAAATTTCATTTAGATCTTATTTCTATTTTCAGTTTTGGAAACCATTTTTTTTTCAGCAGACTTATACAGTTTTAGCTACTCATAGTGTTGTTTTTGTTCAACTCTTGCAACAATTTGTGATTAAAGACTCTTTAAGAGGAGTCATTTAAAGCATAATTCAATACTCATTTCACTTTCTTTCTTGTACAGCTGACCAGTATTTTTTATGTTTACTTATAAATGACCACCAAGGGTAGTTCTTTTTTAATTCCAATTGGCCAAGGACAGTCGAAGATGTCATTTAAAAGTTTTTCTTTTCTTAGCTCTTCAGAGAGAACCACAACTATAATATTCCCATATGCATTTTTCCTACCCTTGGATCATTCCTGTATTGTTTCATCAAAATAGGTTTGTCATAGTGGTTAAGGAGATGTTTATAGCAAAAATTTTGGTTTAGAGCTGCATCAAATGAAACATTTATCTGGAAAAATTATTTCAATCTCATCATGTCAGTAAAGGTCAGTGAAGTCCCTTTAAATGGACTTGTTCATCTGTTAATCTGGACAAAATCATTTTTTGTTTTAGGGAATAATTAAAAAATATGAACTGACAGAAATGCAAGCAGGTGCAGACCATGTTCAGATGGCACAGATGTACCCGTTGGTCTGCATTGGTACAAAGAGTTCAGCATGTCACAGGCAAGAATTCAAATATCAAAAGGGAATGAGTAAGCTTTAAGGATGCTATAGTGTTACTATTGTACATATCACACTTAAGACAGTTTAACTGACTGATTCAACAAAAGATGTTTTAACACTTGTATTCCCTTTCCCTCTCTATTATTAGCTGTAAGCTAAACAGCAAAATCGAAGAAAATATGACCAAGGGTTTCCAAGGAGTAAACATATGATGACATTAGACACTGAAGCATCCAGCTTACACATTTATATAAATAACTCAGACTGAATCTTTGATACTAAGTCAATAAAAAAGCATAAAAAAGCTAAACTATTATACTTACAGTGTGTTAATTTAATTTTATATGGAGGTTGAGGATACATTCTCAATAATTTATTTGCCTGTAAACTGTTAAGTTTCCCATCTTCTGACGTTTTACCAAGTTCCCCCGATGATTCAAATTGCTGCTGTTTTAACTTCTTTATCTGTAATAGAAAAACAATATATAGATATAGTTTTGTAAAAGAACTTTAAGAATCAGAGATTTAATTCAAGATGTGTTTTTTCTTTTTTGCAATTGAGCCACATCATGCACAGGAAATTCATGTTTGATCAACATTATATTAGGAAAATGTCATGATTGGTCAGTCATCTCAATATTATGTTCAGTCATTGATATGTTAAGTCAATGCTACATCTGGATATTGGTCACTGTTATGTTTGGTCACTGTTATGCTTAGTTAATAATATGTTTATTCAATATTATTCAAAGTTGTGTTTGCATTAGTATGGAAATATCATTTTTGGTCAATGCTATGTTTCTCCAAGGTTATGTCTGGTTAAAAATTACGTTTGGTTGATGTTAAGCTAGATCAATATTAATTATAATGTTTGGTCAATCTTATGCTTGGCCAATATTATGTTTGGTCAATGTTATGTTAGATAAATATTATGTTAAGTTAATGTTATGTTAGATCATTGTTTTAATTGTTTGGTCAATGTTATATTTTGTTTCAGGGTTATGCATGCTTAATGTCTTATTTTAGTCAAAGTCATGTTTGTCAAGGTTATGTTACATCTATATAGTTTTAATCAATGCTATGTTTAGACAACTTTTATCTTTGGATTCTTGTTTGGTCAATGTCATGCATAGTAAATGTTATGCTCAATGTGGTCAATTTCATGTAAAGTCAACAGGGAAATTGTTTGTTTCATCAATATTATGTTTGGTTGATGATATTTTAAGTCAATGTTCTGTTTGTGTTCATGTTTAAATAATGTTATGTCTAGTTATTGTCATGTTTAGTCAATGTTATGTTTGATAAATGTTATGTCTGGTCAATGTTATATTTGGTCAATGTTATCTCTGGTCAATGATTTGTTTGGTCAATGTTATGTCTAGTTAATGTTTTGTTTTGTAAATGTTTTGTTTGGTCAAAGTTTTGTTTAGTAAATGTCATGTTTAGTCAATATGATGTTTCGGGTCAATGTTAAAATTGATCAATATTTATTGTTTGGTCATCAATTCTTTAAGTAAGTCAATATCCATTTTGGGTTCATGTTTGGATAATGTTATGTCTGGTTAATGTCATGTTAAGTTAATGTCACTTGAAGTCAATATGATATTTCGTCAATTTTATGCTTGGTCAATATTATATTTCGTCAATATTATGTTTGCTCAATATATTGATTGCTCAAGGTTATGTTTGTTCAATATTAATTATGTTAAGTCAATATTATATTTCGTCAATTTTATCTTTGGTCAACATTATATTTGGTTAATGTCATATTTGGTTAATATTGTGTTTGGTCAAAATCATGTTTGGTCAATGTTATACTTTATCAATGGTATATTTGGTTAATATTGTGTTTGGTCAATATCATACAGGGGCAATGTTATGTTTGGTAAAGGCTATGTTTTGTTGATGTCATGTTTAGTCAATATAATGTGTCACAGGGTGAGAAAAATGTGCAGCCTGACTGGGACTCAAACCCGGGACCCTCAGAATACTGTTCCGCAGCTCTAGCGACTGAGCTATCAGGCCGCTTACCATTTTCTCCCCTAATTAGTGAAAAGTTCTGAACCGTGACAAATGTTTTGATATTTTATAATCCTTTGTTTGATATTTTTCTTTGCACAAAATATCCTTCATATCACACATCTTTTCTTGTATGTACTAATCAACTACAGTACTCTATTATTTATTTCTAGGAGTATTATAATGGTTTGCCTGTATCACTGCTTGAGCCAGGTCAGGCACAGCTGACTAAATTTTGTCTTGTTGTACTATAGCTGTGTTTAGCATTTTGATACGCTGGGCATTGACCTTACACTTGAAGTACAATTTTTTTAATCTGAAGTTTTGTAAGTTAATTGCATAAATTTTAGCAGATAATTGATTAAAGAATTAGCAGTCACCTCATGAGCTAGCTGCATTAGAATTAATCTATTTAAAGAAAGTCAAGTCAATTAATTTTGCACATTATAGATATTTGCTGTAATTATACTTTATACAGAGAAATCTCATTTTCTTTTCTACTGATTGTAAGAGACATTATTTTTCTCATAAATTACTAATATTTCAGTATAGTTTAATTAACTATGGACAAAGTAAGAACTGATGACTTTTACATAAATATTACATTAGAGCACAATGCTGGGGTTCTTATTTAAGCTCTGTATTTCATACAAGCATAATACAAATCTTTAGAGCAATTATCAGTGATGATTAATCACTAGAGATATTATTCATAACATAAAAAAAAGAAACTTTCATTAAAATATACTTTAGATATACCAGTAATTACTGACAGCTCAACAAGATACGGCATAAAATGACGCAAGGGTTGACTAATCACTATATGACTTTTTGTTTTTCAAATGACTAAGACATTTTTTTTTCAAATACAAAAATAAATACTTAAAGGTACCGTAATTGTGTTTTAAATATGGAATCATTTATAATGTTTGCAAAGAATATTTTCTAATTCATGATATGCAACATGATTTTATAAATGAATCATTTGCAATTATTTGAATAAGGCCCCATCCAACTTGGTTTATAACATTTTACTATGATTTTACAAGGCACTAGACGGTTATCTTTAAAAGATTGATAGCTCCGATATGGCAAAGATTAGAACGTGTGCTTGCAGATTCATATTTGTAATTAATAAATAAAATGAATTATTACTAGTCCGACACAGCCTGTCATATTTCACCATGAACTGTCAATATTATGAAAAGATTGCTGGAACATTTATCTTAGAACTCACACGTATTGGCCAGAAACTCTGGATCAAAATCGCTATAAATCTGTCAAATATTACTCCATATTTATGCTGAACCTTTACAGACCAGGAAATACATCTTTCCAATCCTAGACAGTAAATTATCATTCATGTATAACAGAGTTTCATGATATTTGTATTTGCTTTAAAACTTATGAGCAACATCATAGAATACATGTCTTCCAAATTTGCATGTGTTCTGAAATTGTGTGTGTTGCCATATCTATCAAGCTACAAGTAAAATTATAAGATATCTACAATGTATGTTCCTTCTAGGTACATTTTTATTTAAATTAAGGTAAACACATTAATTTTAATATCTTGAAATTTCAAACTTAAATTAGAGGTCATATGGTGACTTTTCAGCTTTACTAAAGAAGGAAGAACTAAACTGCCCCTCCATGCAATAAATACTTCAGGCACAAACGGGCATAGACGTTCCATTAGCTAGCTGGATAACTTCCTTATATGAAAGAATCCAAAGTGCCTGGTGGGATTTGAACCCATAGCATTGAGGGGCAAGTTGTTTTAAGTAAACGACTATAACCACCTGTTAAGACTACCCTTTCAAACCTAGAACATTGTGGAATCATTTCAATAAAGCTATATAATATATATTTCAATGATGGACACACTTGATTAAATGATAATGGTGGGGCATAATATCTGAACTGGGGTTATAAGGTTCAGACGGCCAGGTCAATCTCCCTCAAACCTAAAAAGTCCTTTATCATATGTTACCCTGATATACTTACCATAGATTATTTACAAGTTATAGCACACTATTTTTAAAAAAATATTTGGTTTGTTGTGATATACCTTTCTTTATTGCCTTTTATAATGTGTTTTAATACATGTAAAAAGAAACACAAATCATTTATAATATTGCATAAGAACTTCATAAAAACCTTAACCTACAATATTATTTATATCATACACTTTTTATGAACCCCAGCTACAAAAGTGAGCCAAAGGTTTCAAAGTTAAATGCTCATGCTTAATATAAATGTCTATTTCAAAGATGTACGTAAGTTTCAATTAGATTACTTCCATGCCAAAATAATATCTGACTTTTGATTTGCACTAAAATTTTCACACAAAAAATCTCAGGTTTTACATTTCTATATATTGATTACAACTTTTCTATAATTCTAAAGTAGCGTTAAATTTCAATTAGGTGTATAATACAATGTATATAATATATTTTCTTTTTCATTTTTCAACTCCGCCAAATTTTACCAATCATTTCAACCAGGTGTTCCGTAGATGATGAAATAACTTTATTACTTTATCGCTGTTTCTATATTGTTTGAATTAGCCTCAAATCACTACTTGGGGGTATTAAAATATCTTGACACCATTGTTAACACATACATTACTATGCATAATAGCTGTAAATGTATGCATAATCAGACTTACTTTAAAGCAAACAGAGAAACTCTTGATTAAGAAAATTTAATCCTGAAATATATATCAAGTGCCGCGTTATTTTACACAGCTGGCCAATATGAGTGAAAATGACACAATTGAACAAGTCTTCAAGCTGTGTGAACACATCTATTTCTATGATTCTCCCATACATTTAGACTTGTTTTATAAAAAAAAAATGAGCTATTTATTTAACTACCGATACTCAATGTTTAAAATCAATCAAACAATATTTTTAGGGTCAGTATACCAGAATCTTATGCTGAGGAACTTCAACTAAGAATAAGCATCTTGAAGGTGACACAAAATGAATCCTTAAACTTTTTATCTCAAAGGCTAAATGCTAAAGTTCAAAGCCCTATCAAATACATGCAATCATTTTAAAAGTCGGTTTCATTTTGTGACCAAAAAGTTTGAAATAGGTCACATTGACCTTTGACAAAAGCAAAAGCAGTAAAGTAAACAAAGGGGCACAAATATGTCAAATTGTAATTAAGTGTTGCAAAACTTGGCCATTTTTATGTGAAAGAAACCTGTTCATATACTTTTTGTGTATATTCATTAACATAGTTAATTTACAACATACAGACACTTCAAAGTAAACAAAAGAATGTAAATGTTAAATTAATTGTATCCAAAAAACTAACAATATACAATAGAAACGCAGCAAGCATCTGTCCCTGTACAAAGTAGGGGAGACGCTGGTTTTTACTTTAGTAGTTGATATGAAGAGGCGAGAGGACATTCCACCTCCAGAAAAAAACTAAATTTTCACACACAGGTTCTTAATAGATACTGACTTTGTTCTCTAAACCTTAATAAATAAAGCTTCATTGAAGAGTGAACTCTGACTTTTGGTAAAAAAAAAAAAAAGGTTTTGTTAATAACTTGTTAGCAAGTTGGCGTTTTGACTCAGTCAAATGCGGTTAATTATCTAGTGTCATTCATATTACCTGTTTCCGTAAAATATTGTAACATACATAAAATTATGATCTTTACTCATTTGCAACAGAAAGTGTGTACATGGTTACTTGGATATTCTGTACTATACATACATGTATATGAGCAAACATGGCAAATTCAGTATCAAAATTTGAGACATGAATTGGTTTACTTTCTATTGAAATTTGATCATTATCAGAATTTTAGTTTCATGTACATTTTTAAATAGTGGAAGAGTGAAAAGTTAAAATTGCAGAATTATGGCTTTATTAGTATTACATGTAAGTTTTTTCAGTCTTGATATGTGACCATTAATTAGTATCTGTTATGTTCATCGCATGCATGGATCATTAAGAGAGTGTTTGAGACAGCATGGACCTGACATAACACAATATGGACATGGGTTTGAATGATGTTACATTTAAAAAATTAAGTATCCAAAGACAAATATGCATTTCAAAAAGGCACACTTCTGCAACTTTTATTTTTCATCCCTTAGCTATTTACATGAAACAAAAGTTATGATAATAATCAAATTCCATTTCACATAAACCACTGTGTACCAAATATACCAATATTTTACTTAAATAAGTATACAAATTTTCCTTTTAAGTTAAATACACATAAATAAAATACAGACCCTCATGAAAAAAAAACTCAAAATTTAAAATAAGAGAATATTTGCATTTTATGTAAACAGCTAAGACCAGAAGAGTTACTCCCCTTTTAAAGAATACTTGGTAGTGTAGGCCTTACTTCAAATCATCTCAGATATCAGTGACCAAGGTGTTTCTGCTGCTACATAACCTGACAGCTTGAGCCATATTGATATCAAAACATTTTTTCTCATGCGACACTATGAATTGTCAGTTCAAGATTTGAAAGTGAGTCATAAGCTTAAACATTTTTTTGTAGCTTACAACACAATCATATTAATATAAATTCTGTATAAACTAAGACTGTAAGCAGAATCCACAATGATTAATATGTTGTACAAGCATGAAGCTTGTTTTACGATCAAGTAAAAGAATTACAATTAATATTTATAAATATAATACTTCATTTTTATATATCTATAAAAGGCTAGACCAAATGATTACCAAAGCATGGTATCTGAATAACAAACTGAGTAAGAGTGAGATTATAACTATAATGTACCACACATTTTTTTTTTTTTGGTGGGGGTGGGGATGTGGTGGTGGTGGTGGGGATGGGGCTTATTATTGACTAGTATACAACTTTCTATGATTTAATCAAAATAGGGAGTAGTGTATAGACAGCTTTAATTGAGGGCTATAAATCTAACTTTAAAGCAAATTTATATTATTCCAACCCTTTCCTATCAGTAATTTGTAGGTGTGGGAGAGTGGGAGCTATTCAAAACCATTTCTGATGATAAATTTGCTAATATTATGAAATTTCTTTTTACATCAATAAAAATTATGAAGAAAATAAGTAAAAGACTACATACCCTAACTTCTGATATACATCTAGAAAATGATTTATATTCTTCAGCACATGTATTCTCCTTGAAATCATGTTTCTTCCAACATGTCATTAATACCAACTTCTCCTCCTTACATGCACCTGAAAACAAAATAAAACACAACATAAAAAATGTGTAAACAGTTTCAACGTGATAAAAAGAAAGTGTATACAGTTTCAGCATGACATAAAGACAGTGAAAACAGTTTTACATGACAAAGAGAAAGTGTAAACAGTTTCAACATGACACATACAAAATGTTAACAATTTCAGCATGACATAAAGCAAGTGGGAAAAATTACAGCATGACATAAAAGAAAGAGTTAACAGTTTCAGCATGGCATCAAGCAAGTGTATACAGTTTCAGCAACATAAGGAAAGTATAAAAAGTTTCAGCATGACATAAAGACAGCCATCGTTGGAACCCTAGTTACAAGTTCCATATATACTACATTTAATATACCTATACTGGTAAACGGTTACATCCTGGGTTACCGAGGATGAAAGAAAGTGTAAACAGTTAAAGATTTTTCCTAAAATTGTACCAAACTTTTAAAACAGTATTAGGTATTTTAAGAGAGCAGGTTTCATTACATTGACTCCATAATGATGACTCTCCTCCTTTACTGGGTGTAAAGATTAAAAAATGTCATGCCAATTGCTTTATTTCCAGCAAAAGTGCAAAATTGAGTAGAACCATCCATTGATCTACCATTACCTAGGTGGATAGCTATTTAGTATTTACAAAATGCTTCAGGCATCTGGGCCATCACAAGGCACTTGCCTTGTATTACTGTATTAGTGACGTGGCAAGTGACTAATGATCAGCACATGGTTACTAACTTTGAAATGCCTCCATAAAGTGTCATTTAGACCTCAAATATAAAACGAATACTTTACCTAAACTCACATAGAGGGAATAAAATATAACAACATATAATATACAGTACAATGTGCTTTTGTATATTTTGCACTAGGGATGCATTGGTCATTATAATTAAATGAATTCTTCAGCAGGATCTGATATACATTTTGTGTCAGAATCAAGGTGGGTATAATGTTCATATATAATATAACACAGTATCTTGATAGAAAGACAAACAATGCTAGTGTCATTTTTCTTTTATTTTCTATATCATTTAGAATATTTTTTGTGATATTTGTATCAATACAAAAGATTGTGTACAAATATTTATAAAACACATATATAAACGGCACTTTTAATGAGTGTTCAAGGATCTAAGTTATGAACTTTCTCGAATTATCTGGGAATTTATTTTTTGCTGAAGGCTGGTTGATATGTAAGGATTTTATTCTAATATCACTTCATATTTTTTGTGCCACTATTTTACAGTTAAAAATGCATTATCATATGAAATATTTGTGTTTTATGATTCAATTAAACTTAACTACAGTATGATTAAAATCAAAGTAGAAAGTTTATGCATAACAGTTTTCTGGATTTACTGTTATCTAAGACAATATTTTTTTAAACTATTTATTTTTTTTCTTCATATTCTGAGTTTGTCTTAGGTAAACCAGCACTTCAATGTAGTTATGTTTTTGGATCCCCAAGCGGAATTAGTAACAATTTGTCACAATAACGATTCGCCACATAACAATTCACCACAATGAAATAATACTTCGCCACAGTAGGATAAATTTATAATTGTTTTAAGTATGACTGGTCTTAGTTAAATTTAATTAATACAAAAGAAAATAAACTTTTTAAACATTAATTTATCAAGGACACTGACAGTTTGAAAACTGGTGTGAAAAATTTGTACTTTAACACAGGTCTGTGAAAATTCATTTTTTAACTCAATCTGGCCCCAAGTCAACCCGGCCCTAAATAAGTCAATCCGCCCTCAAGTCAATCTGATTTCTGGTCAACCCAGCCCCATTTTTACTATTTATTATTTAGCCTTACTTTTTCTTCATTATTGTCCTGTCATATATTTTGATGCTCATCTATTTTGACGCCATTTTTGTTTTGACCTTACAGCTGGTGAAAATGACCTTGTATGACGTCATAATTTGCTGACTGCATTGCAAGCATGTATTAACAACGTATAATTAAAACATGTGGAAAGACAGAGACGCTTCACTGACAATACTTCACCTTTATCATGTGCTGTATTTTTTCACCTTTTTACTGATGCAAAATCAATGTTTATGCAAGACATAATTTTGTAAATAAAGCCTTGGGAAAATCTTTACCAGTCCTTTTTTGTTTCTAATTAAACCTTCATTTTAAAATATCTAATGAGTGTCATGTGATTAGAGGTGTCATCGATAAGGATTTTTGTATCGTTATATCGGCAGTGTTTGAAATTAGCACTAGTCCTATAGCCCCTGACTACTAAATTTCTCCTCGGGCTACCAACTTTTCAAAGTAACAAGCCCGGCCAGACTACTGTATTTTCAGAGGCAATATAAACAACTGTTTTGAACAAATGAATCGTGCTAGTGAAATGTCTTTTGGGCTATTGAATATTCCAATCTGGTAGTCCAACCAGCCTTGTGGTTTCAAATACGAATTTCTTACACTATGTCGGTAATGAATTATCGGCAATACAGCGATATATCGATTGCCAGGCTAAATTTTAGCTTTCAAGTCTTTTAAATGTTTCCTTAAAGACACTGACAAAGCAGTTATATTTAGACAAATGCAAAAAAGATAAACTATATAAATGAACAATTTGTTTTTTTTCCATCATATAGCTATAAATGAAAACTAATGACTAGTAACTATAAAGTTTAAAGCCTTTTTACTGTAGTGGTTATTGTTGCTATTGTGTAGTTACTGATCATGCTAAATCCCGTCCTTGCCGTTCCAATTAGGCTGGGTTTAATTGGCAAATTATAGTGTTAAGAACCTGATTTATTATTAAAGTTTAACATTTTGTAATCATAATTTTTACAAAGAAACACTGACAAATTTTTCTTGGCATTTTCCCTTTTTAAAATCTGAATTGAGGGGTCTTGTCATCCACTTAGCAGACGTGCGAGATTACAACGAAATTAGGCAGCATTCGTTAGAGACACTGGGAGGTAACTTTAGCATTTCCGTTTTCATTTTAGAAAAAAAATGTTTCTGGCTTCCTTAACTTTATGTGTCGCTTTTATTTTGACGTTTCCGACAGTAAACAGGTCTATCAGTTCTATAAAACCTGTTTGCTGAAATCTCTTTAGCTAGAAATATATGTGCATTCGATATCCGATATTTAAAAAATGGAATTGATATGGAATCGGATAACAAAGATCGTTGATACACCAATATCGATTGAATCGATGACACCCCTACATGTGATTTTAGAAAACTGTGATAATAACGAGAAACGGGTACATGTCTATAATTAGTGGCGCAATAGCTCAGTTGGTTAGACTACTGATTATCACTCTTGAGGTCCCGGGTTGGATCCTGGGTAACACCCTTGGGATTTTTCAGAGACACTTTCAGTGTTTCCAACCTACCTAGAGGTGTTATTGGTAAGAAATCCAGGTTACAAATCCTCGCATGTATCAGTGCTATACACTGGGCACGTTAAAAAACCAAGGGGTCTATTCAATAAGAGCTAGGGACTACTTCCCGGATTCCCTTGTACCTCATAGCTGTCTCTTTAATGTATACAATGTTTACATGTACCTGCTTATAGTATCGATAATCGTAAACAATTTTAAAGCAGTATGATGTATGTCAGTCACGGTTCAGAACTGTTCACTATTTAGGGGAGAAAGTGTGTAAGCGGCCGGATAGCTCAGTCAGTAGAGCCACGGTACGGTATTCCCAGGGTCCAGGGTTCGAGTCCACGGTCAGGCTGCACATTTTTCTCACCCCGTGACATTTTGAGCCCAACGGGGGACCATGATGGTATAAAGCTCCGAGTCCAATTTCACATTGTTCTTTGAACCCATTAGAAATTCGAGGACGAATTTCAATATAGCGGGGGAGTATGTCACGGTTCAGAACTGTTCATTATTTAGGGGAGAAAGTGTGTAAGCGGCCGGATAGCTCAGTCAGTAGAGCCACTGTACAGTATTTCGAGGGTCTCGGGTTCGAGTCCCGGTCAGGCTGCACATTTTTCTCACCCTGTGACATGTAGATGTAGTCTCAATATTTCGACTGCAAGACAGACTGATTTTACATTCTGATATTACATATCTCTATCGTGAAGGGCGTCCATTGTCTACATAATAAAAAGCACTAAAGCGCACAATTTGTTGGGCTAGTCTTTAATATTTTGGAAATTGGACCATGTTGACCATCAATACTCTAAAGACTTACTTTCTCTATCGCGTTGCTTCTGTGTCGAAACACGGTTCCCTAGAACATTGGGTTGTAAAATTCGTCTATTAGCAACAGACGGAAAATAATTAGTAAATTTCTTCACATTGACCTTCGCACCACGGCCACCACCTTTACACAAAGTTTCTGTAAGATGTGGCATCTTTTAGAGTGTCTTTTAAATAAGAATTTTATTTCGGAATTACTTAATCATGAACATAATTTAATTTGAACACTTGATGAAGTTGTTGTAGCCGTATCAGCTGCAATATTTTTTTATATCTAATTTAGGGTCGCGAATTCTCATTAATACATAATATGAACCAGTTTACGGCAATTATGGTAGGAAACCACTATATTGGCCAGTATCAGTCTTTGACTGAAAAGTGGCAAGAAACGGAAGGAATTTTTTTAATGTGTGTTATTATTTTTTATACGGGTCCCCACCAGTGGGGGAAGGGGGAGGGGGCGGCTATAATGGATTCAAATCAAAATTTATTTATTGTCGGTATACATATATAACATTTTACAAAACATAAGCTATGTATAGGTTTTGACCGACATACATGGATATAAACATAAAACTCATAAAAGAAGCACATTAAGATAAACTTTGAAAGACAAATGGTAAATGACAAGTTAAATTACTATAATGTGGGATGTAGACACTAAATGTTATAATTTAAAGTAAAATAATAATAATTAATAAATAGTAATGATATGCTAAGGATATGCTTAAAAGATGTATACTGTACTGGATTCGCTTTGTGGCGTCGGTCGGTCCGTCTCCATTTTCGTGTCCGCTCTATCAATCCTATACCAATTGAAGGATTTTCTTCAAACTTGGCTCAAATGTTCACATCAACAAGGGGATGTGCAGAACCCATGTTGCCCATGTGTCAACTCAATGTCAAGGTCACAATTGAAGGTCAAATATCAAACAATCAAATATTAGACTGTATGTCGTGTCCGCTCTGTAAGTCCTACACTAATTGAAAGATTTTCTTCAATCTTGGCTCAAATGTTTACCTCAACAAGACACACTTGAAGGTTAAAAATTGATTTAGAAAATATTCTTAAATTTTAACATGTATTTGAATATTTCTGAAACTAGAAAAGATATATGCTTGAAACTAAAAATATATATAAAGTGTCATGTACATTTTGACATAATTATGCTTTTATTTTAACTTCACTGCTTTTGTTTGTTTTAATACATTGGGAAAATGAAAGGTTATATGTAACTGTTTCGAACATGATTTGACAATACAGTATATATTTATACTTTTGCCTGTACAATTTGTCTTTTTTTCACCAGAGATAATTTCTTTTTATGTATATGTATTTGTGCCGCTAAAGTTATTCCCTTAACCACCTTTCGGCAATCCCATATATAGGCCTCTTCGAAACAAACATCGTTTTAGTAGATCTATATCTTAACCACGCATTCAACAGTCAGTTCCCTTGCTGATTTTTTATAGATTAATTTCAAATCACGACTTCAAAATGGTTTGAAACACAATGTTTGGTAAATTAAGTTTACTATACACGATTTTTTTTCGGTATGCCTAAAATACGAAAGTGAGATTTTTGACGAAAGTGAGCGAAAGTGAGCGAAAGTGACTTTTAAAATAGTAAATATAACATTTTAATAGACTTTTAAAACAAACTTGCAGTTTGTAGACGTATATTATTAGAAAATAATTATATTTATTAACAGAAATAATCATAATGATGATTTAATCGCTACTAATTTGCATAATTTCTATACACAAGTTCTTATATCTTCCTTTCGCTCACATTGAAAAATACGAAAGTGACTTATAAAATATTAAATATTCTGTTTTAATTGAAATTTTTACTAAAATTACAATTTGTAGATGTATATTATCAGAACTTGATGATACTTATTTTTTAAAATAATCATTATGATGATTTAATCGCTATTTATTTGCATTATTTTTATACACAAGTTCAGATATCTTCCTTCGCTCAGATTGAAAAAATACGAAAGTGACTTCAAAATATCAAATATAGCGATTAATTTAAATCTATATTAATATAACAGATTGTAGACGTATAGTTTTGGAATTTGATAATATCTATTTTTCAAAATAATCATTATGATGATTTAATCGCCATTTATTTGCATATTTCTATACACAAGTTCAGAAATCTTCCTTTCGCTCACATTGAAAAATACTAAAGTGACATATAAAATATTAAATATACTGGTTAAGTTGATTTTTTTACTAAAATTGCTCTAAGTAGACGTATATTATCAGAAATAATGTATACGAATGAGACAAAATAAGAATAAAGTATGAATTCATATGTTTACGTGCAAAGACCTGTTGTCATAACCTGACTGACCTACATGACATAATTAATGGGTTTACACGGTGTGTAAATCAATCGACCAATCAAATAACCTGATTAAAATATCTACAGACCGGGTCGCGCATTATTAAAATCCATGGGTATGACTAGAATGGACTGGTATCAATATCATTAAATACGGAATAGATTTTTTTTTCACTTTCGTATAAATTTCTTCAAGATCTTAAATAAAAGTTGTCCTCTGTGATTACGTGTATTATTAGAATTTGTTCTCATGTCTATGTATATTACATACTGAGATATATTTAATAAAACTTGAAACATATCATTTTCGCATCCACTTTAATTGATAGTAATCACGACGGTGACCGCATGACGCTTTAATCCCACTATTTAAAGTATTATTATAATCCAATCATAGGTAAGTAACTGATGACACTTGCCCCGTTGTTTATTGAGTGGACAATTGAATTAACCTTTCTTCTGCACCACCATAGATATCTTGCACGGATTAAAGTGGCAGTTATTATGCTCATCCAGGTGTAGATGAGCAATGTACATGTTAATTTGAAAAATAATTTGGAATTTCCCATAATTGTTAAAATAATATTTCACTATGAAAAAAGGAAATAAGTAATCCACGGAAATTTCTATAAATATCGTACTATATATATCGGTAAAGTTCAATCTTTTTATAAGTTAGTTTTTTTTTATATTTTGTGCTAGTCATTTTCATCATCAGTTATAGGTAAATCACCATGAAAACATGAATAATAATGAAAATGACTCATTTATTTTTTTATTATAAAAAGACATTAATATCGTGAATATTGACATTGACTTTCGTCCGATTAAGTCACTTTCGTATTGTTCAATGTTGGCAAAAGTAAGATATCAGAACAGGTATACAGCAATTATGAAAATACATGGATATTAAATCATCATAATGATTTTTTTTAAAATATATTTTATTCATTTCTGAAAACATGCGTCTTTCAGCGCTATATTTGACATTTTTGAAGTCACTTTCGTATTTTTCAATGTGAGGGAAAGGAAGATCTTTTGACTTGTGTAATGCAAATAAAGGGCGGTTAAATCATCATAATGATTATTTTTAAAAATAAATATAATTGACTTCTGTAAGCCACTTTCGTATTTTTCAATGCGAGCGAAAGGAAGATCTCTGTATATAACTTGTGTATAGAGATTATGCAAAATAAATGGCGATTTACCGATTATCATCATAATGATTATCTTTGAAAGTAAATATTATCATTCTCTGATATTATACGTCCACTTTGTGCAATATTAGTAAAAATAATTTCAATTTAAACGGTATATTTTATATTCTATAAGTCACTTTCGTATTTTCGAAAAATATTTTGTTCATGGTTTAAATTTTGTCCGGTAATATGAAGGATCCCAGTACGCGAATAAGAGTTTTTCGCGCTTTAAAACTTTGCAGCCCGGTTGCAAGATTTGGTGGTCTGAATTTTACGACATATCAGGAAAGAAATTAAAAAAGATGAGCGACCGGTTAAAAGAACTACGAGAAAGATCACAGAAACGCAAGCAGCTTCTGGCTCAAGCGGTAAGTGTAATCAAATTAAAGAATCGAAGGAAATGCTGGGCAATCGGGTTTGAACTCGGTCCAAAAGGAAGTTTCTACCCCAAAATATTAATCAAATTATTGACCAATAGCAACCCTAGTCCAATATATTAGACGTTACAGGCTTGTTATAGTTTTTGTCGGTCAAGCCTGACGTCTAATAGCTATTGCTCAAAAACGCATAGCATCATAAAAAATTCCAAAAATGTCTATTGTCTTGCCTTTCAAGCTTTATTCAAAAGCTTATCATATTTTCTTTCAATTTCATGCTCAATCATAGACAAAAACTTTCAAACGATGTACATATCAATTTAAAATAAAATATAAACATCAATCTATTTTTGTCTATCAGCCATACTGGTTAAGCAAGGTGCTTTACAGATTGATTCCAAATTTTTGAACGGAAAAATATATTCGAACACACTGACGGTGCATGGGCAATTATTTCGTTAGAAAAATATTCCGTTAGATTGTTCTGACTCAGTTAAACGCTTGCATTTGAATTAGCCAATCAGATTTCGCGCACTTTACGGCCGCCATTTGTTTATCGGCTGTTAAGGGAATTGAAATACATGAGAGGATTTAATCATGATTTTTCGGATGTGACAGTTTAATTATTTTGACAAAAGGTATTTATTTTTTAGTTTTGTTCATAAATAGGTCAAAAATTATGTAAATTCACGCTGTCTTCATTGTTTTTCGTTCCGCCCGATTTTCTGGCGGAACATGCTATGGGTTTTTGAGCAATTTCGATATGACGTTGCTTTGCCCAGAAGCAAAAATATCTCAAAGCGACGTCATATTTATAGGACTATAGCAACCCCAAACCGATTGAAAATGGCCAAAATGTAATTTCAACTGTAAGCATTGAAATATGTTAGATTTTTTTTTTGGAATTATTGTTTTTTAAATGTGATAACCAGTCCATCATAAATCTTGGCCAAAGTGTACTTCCCAAATCTGGTCTGAATTGTCCCAAAATCTGGTCTGAAATGTTCCCAAATTTAGTCTGAAATCTTCTACATCAATCATCATACTGCTTTAAAATCGTTTACGATCACTCTAAGCAGGTATACATTGTATATATTTTTAAGAGACCGCTATGAGATACAAGGGAATCCGGGAAACAGTTGTCAAGTTTTGGTTTCACTTATGAGATTTTTATCGATATTCTGAGCAGTATTTGTGATTAAAGGTTAAGAATCGCTGTACTCCTGGACTTGCTGCACTGCAAGATTATAAACCAGGATTGAACCTGGGACCTCAGGAGTGATAATAAGTGGTCTAACCAACTGAGCTATCGCTCCACCACAAATGTTCCAAAAAATGTGGTCAGAAATGTCACAAATTATGGTCTGAAGTCACTGTGGTCAGAGGTGTCCATCTTTCGTTAGGCAGTAGGTTACAACAACTAATTGGTTCCCATTATGGGAGCAACCTTGTGTAACCTTTGTATCCCTTGTCATGAGGGGGTGAAAAATAATTGTGGTTTTGTGCCATATATGTAGATATGTTCTCATGAGGTGGTGAAAAATAATTGTGGTTTTGTGCCAATAAAAAATTTAATTATATGGCATCATAACATATATGTTTCACAAATATCTATTGTTATTAATTTGCTGTTATATCATTATGCATGAACGTGACTATACATCATGTATTATTTTGTATATATGTATACTTGTAGTTAGGAGTTGACAGTCCAGATGATCTGAAAGGAGTTCTCAAAAGTAAAGAGGAAATTAAGCAATCTAAAGCAGAAAAGCAATCAAGGTAAGATAAGTTAACATTATTGATCTTGTAAGGAATTTCATTATCATAATGTTAAAATGCAACAGTTACGAGACTGTTAATATACAATGTAATATGCTACAAAGGCATTCCATTATTATACCCCCCCCCCCCACAACAAAGTTGTAAGGGGGGTATACTGGAATCAGCTTGTCCGGCCGTCCGGCTGTCCGTCAGTTTTTTCTTGTCCGCCCAATAACTTAAGAAAACTTAAGTGACCCACAGTCTTCATATTTAGCATGGAGGTTAGTCATGATTAGTAGATGACCCCTAATGACTTTGAGGTCACCAGGTCAAAGGTCAAGGTCACAGGGGCCTTGACTTCAAAAAGCATGTCTGCCCAATAACTTAAGATTCCTTTGACCCGCAGTCTTCATATTTGGCATGAAGGTTAGTCATGATTAGTACATGTAGATGACCCCTATCGATTTTGAGGTCAAAGGTCAAGGTCACAGGGGCTTTGACTTCCAAAAGCTTGTCCGCCCAATAACTTAAGATTCCTTTGACCCACAGTCTTCATATTTAGCATGAAGGTTAGTCATGATTAAAAGATGACCCCTATTGATTTTGAGGTCAAAGGTCAAGGTCACAGGGGTCTTGACTTCAAAAAGCTTGTCCGCCCAATAACTTAAGATTCCTTTGACCCACAGTCTTCATATTTGGCATGGAGGTTAGTCATGATAAGAAGATGACCCCTATTGTTTTTGCGGTCACCAGGTCAAAGGTCAAGGTCACAGGGGCCTTGACTATGGAAAGCTTCTCCGCCCAATAGCTTAAGATTCCTTTGACCCACAGTCTTCATATTTGGCATGGAGGTTAGTCATCATTAGTAGATGACCCCTATTGATTTTGAGGTCACCAGGTCAAAGGTCAAGGTCACAGGAGCCTGTACTTCAAAAAGGTTGTCCGCCCAATAACTTAAAATTCCTTTGACCAACAGTTCATATTTGGCATGAAGGTTAGTCATGATTAGTAGATGACCCCTATTGATTTTGAAGTCACCAGGTCAAAGGTCAAGGTCACAGGGTCCTGGAATTCAAAAAGCTTGTCCGCCTCCTTTGACCCACAGTCTTCATATTTGGCATGAAGGTTAGTCATGATTAGTAGATGACCCCTATTGATTTTGAGGTTACCAGGTCAAAGGTCAAGGTCACCGGGGCCTGGACTTCAAAAGTTTGTCCGCCCAATAACTTAAGATTCCTTTGACCCACAGTCTTAAAATTTGGCATGGAGGTTAGTCATGTTTAGTAGATGAGCCCTTTTGATTTTGAGGTCACTGGATCAAAGATCAAGGACACAGGGACTTTTACTTCAAAAAGTTTATCCACCAAATAACTTAAGAAACTTTTTATATGTGGCATGGAGGTTAGTCATGATTAGTAGATGATCCCTATTGATTTTGAGGACACTTGGTCAAAGGTCAAGGTCACATGGGGCCTTGACTTAAAAATTTTTATCCGCCCAATACTTTAAGATTCCTTTGACCCACATTCTTCAAATTTGGCATGGAGGTTAGTCATGATTAATAGGTAACCCCTATCGATTTTTAGGACACTGGGTCAAAGGTCAAGGTCACAGGGGCCTTGACTTAAAAAGTTTGTCCGCCCATTAACTTAAGATTCCTTTGACCCACAGTCTTCATTTTTGGCATGGAGGTTGATCATGACCATAAGGTGACCCCTTTTGATTTTGGGGTCACTGGGTCAAAGGTCAAGGTCACAGGGACCTTGACAAAAAAATAAGCTTTTCCCCTCAATTGCTTAAGAATGCCTGTCCGCAGTGTATTGATTTTGACATTTTCACATTTGAAGCATGTAGAATACATAACTTAGCAATGCACTGGCTTAGTAACCTCAGATTTGGCTGGGAGGATGTCCTTGAGCTCAAAATGGCCACTGTTGATTCTGACAAAGTGGTATGCGGGGGTATTCACGCCATGACAGTGGCAGTTCTAGTTGTCACAGGAGGTTGAAGTAAATGAAAACATATTTATTAATTAAAACAACATTTAAAATGATTTTAACATAAAGTTGTTAAGGATAATGCCTGTTTACAATACACTTTTTATTTAGGAGTAAATGATGTTAACAGAACATACACAAATATGTGTATGCACATGTCTTGTGTGCAATAATAATACTTTTTAATAGAATCATAATCAAGACATTATTTTTCTAGTTCTGATACTTCTACCAAAAAGAAATCAAGACGATCAAGTGTAGAAAAATCTAGTGAACAACATGAGAAAGAAGGAAATGAGGTATTTGTTAAATGAGGTTGAAGATCACTTTTTCTTAATTAAGTTTGGGTCATTTTGTCTGAAAAGGTACCTTTTGGTAAATGGAGGCATTTCCAGTAATGATAGTTAATAATTTTTCTCAGTTGTGATGCAAGAGTTCAGAAAATGGTTGCATACTGGATGTTTTTTCTTAGTGGGAGCATATTGTGATAGGGTTGGTCTGTTCATCTGTATGCACATCATGTTATCCTTGTCTGATCAATAACATAAGAAGGATAAACTGTGGTTAATTTAACTTAAAAGGAGCACTGCCAGTAGATGACCCCTATTAACTTTTAGGTACATTAGATCAAGATCAAAGTGTCTGTATACTATAGTCCTTGAGTCCTTGTCCAATCAATAGCTTGAGAGGGAATAAACTTTTTAGAGTTGGCCACAGTTAAAACAAATGTAGTACATATTAAAATTGTTTATTGTATAATTGTTTATTATTACAGAAAATTATTATTACAGAAAAAAGAAGAGCAGTTTGAAACAGATGAGATTTACACAGACTCTAGTGCTTTTCTGAAGGTATTACTTAAACATTGAAATAGAAAAGGAATGTTAAGATAAATTCTTATCAGACTATCAAATTTCTATAAATCATCCAAATTTTGTTAAAAATTTTCTTGTAAAAATGAGAGAATTTTAGTGAATTTCCTGTTTGATTCAACAGCAGTCTAGATTTTATATGATTCTAGAACAGTTTATATATTATAGGGTACCCAGAGTGCAAATCCACACAATGATTATTGTCAGCATTTTGTTGATACTGGAGAACGGCCTCAGAACTTTATACGAGATGTTGGTAAGTACAGTTGATAAAATGTCAACATACTATTATTAATCTCCTGAATTTCTTAAATGGACCTGTCCAGCTTCAATTTTTATGGAATGTCTATAACCATTTTTAGGTGTGCCAGGATGAAAAATATAATTATAAAGTAAGGCAACAGTGTAGTACTTGGTCTGAAGGTTTACCATTTTCAATTTATAGCAGGGTTAGGGTTATACAAAGCAAAATTTAATGACTAATGAGGCTGGTTTGTTATGGAATGGTATAGAACAATATCAGGATATTTTATGTTAAGATTTCTAACAGGACAAAACAAGAATGTTAATACAGCAATTTCTATCTCCTGAAATGAAATTTGGTACAGATCTTGTTGAAAGATATGTGTATAGTTTTGCCAGTGGACAGAGGCCATCAGATACTTGTTAAAATGTCCTTTGTTTCCAGTTGGCATTCATAAAGAGTGCAGGACATGGTGCAAAAGTTTTCAAATAGTTTCTTATTTTATCAACAAGCTACACTGTATTTAACAAACCTATTTTGCAATAAGAATTTTATTATGTTATTCTTTAAGACAATCATGCATGTTTATATTTGTTTGTAGGCCTTGCTAACAGATTTGAAGAATATCCGAAGCTACGTGAACTAATCCGGTTAAAAGATGAGCTCATATCACATACAGCAATACCTCCAACGTAAGTATGTTTGACTAATTTTTTTACTGCTAGAAACTGGAAAAACTCAATTGGCTGGGTAGAGATATGTTGATAAATATTAAAAATTCACTTTTTACATATAATTTGCAAACTCTTTATATAATCTTTTTAAATAAATTTGAATTTTAGATTTTTTTATTTACCTATCTGAAGAGTGACGCATCACAGATACCAGAAACATACTTGAATTATGACATAGATAATTCCTGTTAAACATGTTAATTTCTTGGAAGCTTAGGTAATTTAGGTTTGTATTTTTTTTGGTGTGAATCTTAATATAAAGGGGTAGCTAAAATGTGAAATAGATATGTTTTAATTTGTGAAGGTACCTGAAAAGTGAAATGTTACGGTAGCTTTATATTTTTCTACTTTAAGGTATATGAAATGTGACCTTGAGATGTTTGAACTATCAGAACTAGGTTGTCCGTTTGATGTGATTCTATTGGAACCTCCACTACAAGAATATCAGAGAGCACAGGGTGCTGTGTTTGACAAGTACTGGGACTGGGATGAGGTAAAAACTGTAGCAGGCTTTACCTTTTATGTGCACATTTTTTTTACATTTTTTTAGCTCACCTGTCACAAAGTGACAGGGTGAGCTTTTGTGATCGCTTTTCGTCCGGCGTCCGTCCGTCCGGCCTCCGTCCGGCGTCCGTCCGTAAACTTTTTCTTTAAATGACATCTCCTCATAAACCACTGAGCCAATTTCATCCAAACTTCACAGGAATGTTCCTTTGGTGGTCACCTTTAAAAATTGTTCAAAGAATTTAATTCCATGCAGAACTCTGGTTGCCATGGCAACCGAAAGAAAAATCTTTAAATATCTTCTTTTAAACAACCCTAAGAGCTAGAGCTTAGATATTTGGCATGAAACATCTTCTAGTGAGTGTCTACCAAGTTTGTTCAAATAAAAGCCCTGGGGTCAAAATTGGCCCCGCCCCAGGGGGTCATTGATTTTCCCTATATGCATATAGTAAAAACTTAAAAAGTCTTCTTTTAAAGAACCCAAAGAGCTAGAGCTAAGATATTTGGCATGAAACATCTTCTAGTGAGTGTCTACCAATTTTGTTCAAATAAAAGCCCTTGGGTCAAAATTGGCCCCGCCCCGGGGGGTCATTGATTTTCCCTATATGCATATAGTAAAAAGTTAAAAAATCTTCTTTTAAAGAACCGTAAGAGCTAGAGCTTAGATATTAAGCATGAAACATTTTCTAGTGAATTTCTACCAAGTTTGTTCAAATAAAAGCCCTTGGGTCAAAATTGGCCCCGCCCCAGGGGGTCATTGATTTTCCCTATATGCATATAGTAAAAACTTAAAAAATCTTCTTTTAAAGAACCCAAAGAGCTAGAGCTAAGATATTAAGCATGAAACATCTTCTAGTGAGTGTCTACCAAGTTTGTTCAAATTAAAGCCCTGTAGTGAAAATTGGCCCCACCCCGGGGGGTCATTGATTTTCCCTATATGCATATAGTAAAAACTTAAAAAATCTTCTTTTAAAGAACCATAAGAGCTAGAGCTTAGATATTTGGCATGAAACATCTTCTAGTGAATGTCTACCAAGTTTATTCAAATAAAAGCCCTGGGGTCAAAACTGGCCCCGCCCCAGGGGGTCATAGATTTTCCCTATATGCATATAGTAAAAACTTAAAAAATCTTCTTTTAAAGAACCCAAAGAGCTAGAGCTAAGATATTTAGCATGAAACATCTTCTAATGAGTGTCTACCAAGTTTGTTCAAATAAAAGCCCTGGGGTCAAAATTGGCCCCGCCCCAGGGGGTCATTGATTTTCCCTATATGCATTTAGTAAAAACTTAAAAAATCTTCTTTTAAAGAACTCAAAGAGCTAGAGCTAAGATATTTAGCATGAAACATGTTCTAATGGGTGTCTACCGAGTATGTTCAAATAAAAGCCCTGGGGTCAAAACTGGCCCCGCCCAGGGGGGGGGGGGGTCATTGATTTTCCTTGTATGTGTATAGCAAAAACTTAAAAATCTTCTTTGAAAAAACCCAAATAGCTAGAGTTTAGATATTAAGCATGAAACATCTTTAAGTAAATATCTACAAAGTTTGTTCAAATAAAAGCCCGGGGGTCAAAACTGGCCCTGCCCCAGGGGTGTCATTGTCTTTAACTATATGTGTATAGTAAAAACTTTAAAAATCTTCTTTTAAAAAACCCAATGAGCTAGAACTTAGATGTTTAGCATGAAACATCTTCTACCAAGTCTGTTCAAATAAACAAATAAAAGCCCTTGGGTAAAAATTGGCCCGGGGGGGGGGGTGGGGGCTATATACAGGTGAGCGACCTCAGGGCCATCATGGCCCTCTTGTTTTATATATCATTTGTGCCCAACCTGTTAGCACAGCCGGAAAAGGTTTAGGTCTTTGGACTTTGAACTTGTGAGGTTGAATCTTTCCTGCAACACATGATATTGAAAATAGATATTAACAATATGAAACTATACCTCGTCCATAAGAAATATAATTCTCATTTTATTAAACGCTTTACAACAAACTTTTAACATTGTCAGATATGTTAAAAGATGAGTAAAATTATGTTATAACTGTACACGTATTATATGCAAATGTTCTTTGTGCAAATGTTCTTAAAGTTTTTAAATAAAAGATAAAAAAAAAGATATTGAAAATAGAAATTTAAATATATTTTTAAACTCGAAATTTTTCCACCTCTACTTTCACTTGGGGCATAATTGACTTTTATTCATAAAAAATACTGGTTTAGAATACAGGAACATTTATAGTTTTGTTTGGTTGCCAAGTGCCTGTATATGACTTGTATAATTACAGTCTCAAAATGGCAAATAATAAAATATTAAAACTTTATTATGCAACATGAATTTATACTGTGCCAATTTCTCAATCATGTTCACCTAAAATCATTATTACATGTATTTTGATTAAACAAAAAAAATCTGACCTATGTCTTCAATTACATAGAATCTATACAAAAAGTAACAATTAGACACATGAAAGTAACATTTTGAAGTCAAAGATACAATGAATGAAGTTTATTTTTTACATGGAAAGTACACATATTGTTGTTGTTTTTAACAAATAGATAGAAAGATTAGACATACCTTCTGTGGCAGCACAGAGATCTTTTATATGGATATGGTGTGGTAATGCTGAAGGTCTGGAAAGGGGTAGACAGGTAAGTTCTGTGTTTTATGTTACTCTTATGCATCAGCATTTTTTCTGTTTTTCCTCTTTTATAAAGGGGAATCTGAGGCCAAGTGGTTAAGGTTGTTGACTTAAAACCACTTGCCACTCAACACTACGGGTGTGAATCCTGTGAAATGATACTTATAGTTGGTCATCTGATATTTTCTAACAATAGTAAACCTGAAAAGTTGCCACGGGACGTTCCAGTGTTGTGTGACTTAAAATTCAAGCAAAGTTATATATTTCATTAGTTCTTTAAATACAATTCATATTAATCAAAACAAATTTATTTTACTAATACTGAGGAAAGATGGTAAATGATTTAAATCATGGAAAGTTTAGTTCATGTGTAAAATATGTAGATGTTAAATGCATAGATTGTTTTTTGAAAATATGTTTTGTTATTCATGGAATAACATCTATGATTATTTGTTTTTCAGTGTTTGAAGCTTTGGGGATTCAGGAGATGTGAGGATATTTGTTGGATAAAGACAAATATACAAAATCCTGGACACAACAAAAATCTTGAACCAAATTCTGTACACCAGAGAACAAAGGTGAAATGTCTTTTATCACTTATTTTAGATTCAGATTATTGATTTAATATTGTTTACAAAGTGTTGTAATCAGTATAGCAATATAAATATTAGTAAAAACTGAATATAATTTGACAATTGCAAAAAAATTATCTAGCACATGATTAATATTGAATGCCCATAATGTCATGTCCTTCACCGCTTTGGGTTTGCATCCTGACAGGGACTTTGGATTCTTTCATGTGAGGAAGCTTTAGTATGCCGGTGGTTCTATTCAGGTGCCAGTTTATACCTGAAATTATGCACGGAAGTGCACCCAAGGTCTTTTTCCACCAGTAAAGCTGAAAAGTCGCCATATGACCTATACTGTGTTGGTACAACGTAAAACTAAACAAAAGAAAAAAAGAATGCCTATAATCTTTGACTACTGCAAAAACGCTGTACAGATCAAATACTTCAAACCACCACATGGTATATCTTGGTACGACAAGCATTTCATAATTAACTTTGTAAAACTTCAATAGTATAAAGGCATTGTTAACAATAGTTATGAAATTAAAACAAAAGTTTATTTCCCTTTCATTTATGCAGGAGCACTGCCTCATGGGTATTAAAGGAACTGTGAAGAGAAGTACAGATGGAGATTTCATACATGCAAATGTTGATATAGATCTAATAATCGAGGAAGAACCACCATATGGCAGCAAAGACAAACCTGTAGAAATATTTCACATGATTGAACATTTCTGTTTAGGAAGACGTAGGCTCCACATATTTGCTAGAGACAGCACCATCCGTCCTGGCTGGCTGAGTGTTGGTCCTGAATTGACTAGTAGTAATTATGATCGTGAGAGATATATGTCATATTTCTCTGCAGACACTGATCTCACCACTGGATGTAGTGAAGAGATTGAAAGATTGAGACCCAAGTCACCAGTGCCAAAAAATAAACAAATGGGAGGTGCCCCAAGGGGTCAAAGAGGAGGAAGGGGTGGACCTCCTAGAGGTGGACCAATGGGACCTGGTAGGGGTGGTAGAGGTATGGGAATGAATAGAGGTCAGCCAAGGGGTATGAGGGGGATGGGAAGAGGTCCTCCAAGGGGTGCATTTCGTTAATGTCTGATAGCATTATGATAAGTGTATGATATACATGTATATTACCTGTAAAACAAGTATTCTACATTGAATGTCAGTAATGCTAAGGAATTATGGCCTTGGGTCCTTTGTGAAAATTCTTTTGTAGATAATGGAAATGATAGTTAATGAAATGGCTCAAATTGGCACTGGATAATTTTTACACATGATACTTTTTTATATGACTCATTATCAGTGGTCTTAATGTAATGAAAATAACTTTTTGTTTAAATATATGCGTTTAAAACTGCATGCCTCCAGATGAGTCTAAATATGTCAAGAAAACTTGAACAAAATGTGCATTGTACTAAGATTTTAAGAAAGTAAAAAGATTCACGTCATTATTTACATTATGTTGGATTAATGATAATTTTGCAGCCAACACAGTAAGGGCTGTTTATGCGTATTTTAATCTCTTTTTGGTACTTTATTTTGATTATAAGAGCCATTTGCAATGTGTAAATTTCTATCTTTGTTCACTTCGCAATATTTTTACTTTTAATTACATTGCAAAATTTTCATGAAAAACATTATGAATCTGGAGGCATGCTGGAGTAAGATAAGTCATTTATAGAAAAAATGCTTATCAATACCAAGTTAAAATGCTAATATTACAAAATAGATTTTTTTTTAAACTGTGAAGGTTGTTGGCTCATATGTTTTGATATTTTTGGGCACAAAGAAGTGGTCTTAAAATACAACTGTAATGAAAAGATAATTATAGTGATGCACCAATTTATTTATTATCTAACACACATCAATATACATGTTTGTACAATGAAATATGCATGTAGAAAATTAATGAATTGTTATTTGATAAAATATTAATTCTGATGTAAATTTGTGCATGTCAATACAGAAAATGCATTAAAAGTAATAGAAATAAACTGCTTTGTGTTAGAATTCCTAAGTAATTTTAAGTGCTCAAGATAAGAGATTTCATGCTTTAGTCATTACATTTTTTTTAAACCAAATGATCTGTCTTGAAAAAAAAATGTAAACAAAAATTAAAAGGTATGGAGCCATAACTACAGCTGTCAAAAGAATTTGGCCTTGTCCTTCTTCACAGGTGTGAAGGACTGTTGTAGATCCATATGCCACTAGCACTTGGGGTTATCCTGGTTTTAGGTAAAGCAAAATAACAAGAATATATGCATGCATATTGTACTTTCTCCATGACTCCTTACTACACAATATTAGTGTAAATTGACCAAGATTTTAATGATAACTAGAAATGTGTCATCATGCCACGGATGCCCCCGCATGCAGCCAAAATTTCAGATGTTATAATATAGTTCCAAATTTGTTTGCACAAATTATTTTTTTCATTTTAAGTTCAAAGCCCTTAAAACTTTTCAATGTTAACACAAACCATTTTCATACAATGTTCAAGGCACTTAAATTATTCAGTCTAAACCTTTTGAAAATAGCATATTTCATATTTGTAGCCAAAATAATGGCTACATACATTTCAGTGCTGAAACTGAAAGTTCAAAATTTTTCCAACATTCAAGAAAGATAAGTTTGTCCAAAATCATTGAACCACGACCAAATTCAAACTTAAACTGCTTATTCCTAAGATGTATCTATATTATTTTCAAAGTGAAAGGGACATAACTCTGCCAAAAAATCATCGAACCATGGCCAAATTCAAACTTGACCTGCCCATTCCTTTGACATATCCATATGTCAAATTTGAGTTGTTGAGTAGATAATGAACAGAAACTGTAAATTTCATATTATTTTCAAAGTGAAAGGGGCATTACTCTGCCAAAAATCATTGAACCATGACCAAATTCCAACTTGGCCTGGGCATTCCATAAAATTAACCATATGTCAAATTTGAGTTGAATGTGTTGTACCAATGGGGAGATAATAAACAGAAACTGAAAATTTCATATTATTTTCAAAGTAAAAGGGGCATAACTCTGCCAAAAATCATTGAACCATGACCAACTTTGAACTTGACCTGCGCATTCTTGTGACGTATCCATATGTCAAGTTTGAGTTGAATGTGTTGTACCATTGGGGAGATAATGATCGGAAACTGAAAATTTCATATTATTTTCAAAGTGAAAGGGGCATAACTCTGCCAAAAATCATTGAACCATGACCAAATTCGAACTTGACCTGTATTTTCTCACGACATATCCATATGTCAAATTTGAGTTGAATGTGATGTACTGTTGGGGAGATAATGAACGGAAACTGAAAATTTCATATTATTTTCAAAGTAAAAGGGGCATAACTCTGCCAAAAATCATCGAACCATGACCAAATTCGAACTTGACCTGTATTTTCTCATGACATATCCATATGTCAAATTTGAGTTGAATGTGTGCAACCGTTACTAAGATGATGAACGGAAACTGATGATGACGGAATGACAGAATGACGGAAGGACGGAACAGGGTAACACTATATGCCCCGGCCATTACATGGCGGGGGCATAAAAAGTAATGTCATTATTTGTGCCCAATCCTTGAGTTCAAGCAGGGATAATGCTTTGTCTATTGCACCTATAGAGACAGGACAGTCTGTACATCTATATAGTCAACAAGAATTCTGTTTTTTGTTTAATTTGATTTTGGTTATCAATTCCCTCACTAGAATGTGACACTTCAAAGTGGGACATTTTGGTTTTATAAGTAAAGCATTGGACTGGTTTAGAGGAGACAAATTTGATCACATCTGTACAGTGTCTTGGTCAAACATGTTTTTTTGGTTGGGTTTTACATCCCACAAACACAGTTTAGGTCATATGACGACTCTTCCGTTTTAACTGGTGGAGGAAAACATCGAGTTCCTCTCCCTGCATTATTTCAAGAACAAACGGACACCTGAGAAGAGCCAACATTCCGTAGAACATTGTCAAAATATTTGTTTAAGTTTTTGCATTAATTATTTAAAGCCAATTACTAAGAATATTATTAAAAGTTTTTGGTGTAAAACAAGAAAGTACTACATTATGGCTCTAATCCATACACATTTGATGGCATCTCCCATGCACTATGGCCATCAATCGAACCATTCATCAACAAACCAGCTCTCAAAAATTGCAGATATCTGTCATAACTACAGGACTACAACTTCGTAACCCACCAGTGGATTAAGATGTATCTCCTGAACAAGAGGGCCATGATGGCCCTGAGGTCGCTCACCTGTATATAGCCCCCCCCCCGGCCAATTTTTACCCAAGGGCTTTTATTTGAACAGACTTGGTAGACACCCATAAGAAGATGTTTCATGCTAAACATCTAAGTTCTAGCTCATTGGGTTTTTTAAAAGAAGATTTTTTAAGTTTTTACTATTCACATATAGTTAAAAACAATGACACCCCTAGGGCAGGGCCAGTTTTGACCCCCGGGCTTTTATTTGAACAAACTTTGTAGATATTTACTTAAAAATGTTTCATGTATAATATCTAAACTCAAGCTATTTGGGTTTTTTCAAAGAAGATTTTTAAGTTTTTGCTATACACATATAAGGAAAATCAATGACCCCCTGGGCGGGCCAGTTTTGACCCCAGGGCTTTTATTTAAACATACTTGGTAGACACCCATTAGAACATGTTTCATACTAAATATCTTAGCTCTAGCTCTTTGAGTTCTTTAAAAGAAGATTTTTTATGTTTTTACTATATGCATATAGGGAAAATCAATGACCCCCTGGGGCGGGGCCAATTTTGACCCCAGGGCTTTTATTTGAACAAACTTGGTAGACACTCATTAGAAGATGTTTCATGCTAAATATCTTAGCTCTAGCTCTTTGGGTTCTTTAAAAGAAGATTTTTTAAGTTTTTACTATATGCATATAGGGAAAATCTATGACCCCCTGGGACAGGGCCAATTTTGGCCCCAGGGCTTTTATTTGAACAAACTTGGTAGACATTCACTAGAAGATGTTTCATGTCAAATATCTAAGCTCTAGCTCTTACGGTTCTTTAAAAGAAGATTTTTTAAGTTTTTACTATATGCATATAGGGAAAATCAATGACCCCCCGGGGCAGGGCCAATTTTGACCCCAAGGCTTTTATTTGAACAAACTTGGTAGACACTCACTAGAAGATATTTCATGTCAAATATCTTAGCTCTAGCTCTTTGGGTTCTTTAAAAGAAGATTTTTTTAAGTTTTTACTACATGCATATAGGGAAAATCAATGACCCCCTGGGGCGGGGCCAATTTTGACCCCAGGGCTCTTATTTGAACAAACTTGGTAGACATCCATTAGAAGATGTTTCATGCTAAATATCTTAGCTCTAGCTCTTTTGGTTCTTTAAAAGAAGATTTTTTAAGTTTTTACTAAATGCATATAGGGAAAATCAATGACCCTCTGGGGTGGGGCCAATTTTGACCCCAGGGCTTTTATTTGAACAAACTTGGAAGACATTCACTAGAAGATGTTTCATGCCAAATATCTAAGCTCTAGCTTTTACAGTTCTTTAAAAGAAGATTTTTTAAGTTTTACTATATGCATATAGGGAAAATCAATGACCCCCCTGGGCAGGGGCCAATTTTGACCCTAGGGCTTTTATTTGAACAAACTTGGTAGACACTCACTAGAAGATGTTTCATGCCAAATATCTTAGCTTTAGCTCTTTGGGTTCTTTAAAAGAAGATTTTTTAAGTTTTTACTATATGCATATAGGGAAAATCAATGACCCCCTGGGGCCAGACCAATTTTGACCCTAGGGCTTTTATTTGAACAAACTTGGTAGACACTCATTAGAAGATGTTTCATGCCAAATATCTTAGCTCTAGCTCTTACGGTTCTTTAAAAGAAGATATTTAAAGATTTTTCTTTCGGTTGCCATGGCAACCAGAGTTCTGCATGAAATGGAATTCTTTGAACAATCTTGATAGAGCTTCATACAAAGAGTATTCCTGCCAAGTTTCATTAACATTGGCCTTGCGGTATCATAGAAGATGTCCTTAGAATATTTAAAATGTGGACGGACGACAAACGACGGACGCCATTTGGTTGGCCATCCTAAAAGCTCACCTGCACTTTGTGCAAGGTGAGCTAATAATTCATACATTTCTGCCAATTTCCAACAGACCTGTACAGCAATTCATTTTAAAATGCCTCGGCGCCATATGACCTTAACTGTGTTTGTGTGGTGTAAAACAAAACAAATGAAAATGCCTATTATCAAGTAACGTACCAGATGCTATAACTTACTAATTTAATTTTGTTGTGAATTGATATACATTATTTTCTCATCTACATGTATACATTCATACCAGATTCTATCCAGTTATAACATATTGCTCGTGAGTGTGTGTGTCCTTAAAGACAATAGCCAATCTTCAAGTAACATTGACTTGATGACCTGGTTAGCAGATTTTGACAACATCTGGCATTGTTTCATTAAACTCATAACAAACAAATTCTAAGATATATATGTAGATCTTGACAGAAACACTTCACCTGTTATATCGAACTTACTATTTCATAGGCAATTAATTACAGGTACGGTCAACTTTGAACCCGGGGGCTTGATTAACATAATATGTTCACAAAGCTATATACCATCTTTCTAAGCTCCAAGTCTTGTGAACAGTTTTGTATCAAACCATTACCTTAAATAAGTATCTTTTGTTGTCAAGGGCTGCCTTAGGATCTTTCTTTAAAGTTTGGTCAAAATACTGGTTTGGGAGGGTTTATTTCAGAAATAGCAGATAATGACTAACAATTGTTGGATCTCTACTCAAGTAACAAAAGATTAAACTACAAACATTAACATGTGCTTTTTTGTTAACAAATTTGTTGTGGTGAAATTCTTATTGCATCCGTTAATCTGATAATTAGAATTAGACAGGTCAGGGATCTCTGCATTACAAACATCACTAAAGTTCATGCTCAGGTAAGACAACAACAAACTGTTTTTAACAATAAATTATTTATTTCTTTTCCTTTCCAATCATGTCACACTTGTCAATAACATATACTGTATAAAAAAATACATCAGAACTTTTTTCCCCATCATGTCCAAAGATCTTAAAATATTGTTTCTAGAGTCAGCACTTGAATCTATCAATTTTGTAACAAAAACAGCACAAATAAACAGCATCTACATACTTTAAATTCTCTTATGTATAAACAACATATCCTAAATATCTAAAAGTCTTATTTTGTGAACTGGTCTAAGTATGGAACATTCTTAAGATTTCCAACTGATGACATTGACAGTTTTCCACCGGCCAATTTCTTAGCAACCTGAAAAATAATCACATATAAGGTGGGTTCACTAATTTCCTAGCAACTTGAAAAGAAACAAACTACATTTAAAGTCCTTATCATTAATTTCTGTGCCACAGGACAAGTAAACTACATTGAGATAATCTTTTTTATCACCATACTTTGGGTATGAGATTGGACACAAAATTACTAGTATTTCATCTCAACTTTTATCAACCTTTTCATTTCTTTCATACAGGTATAGTTTATAATATACATGAATATAGATACATAAACTGCTGATGTTAATTTTTGTAAAAAAAAAATCTGTTAAAAGGGCATTTGTTGAAACTACATGTCAAACACCATTTCAGTCTTTTTATTAAAGATTTGAACAGTAAACAAATGTTTACACATAAGAACTGGATTCTAAGAGAACACAATGCTTTTTTACAGACACTACAAATTAACTTATTTTTTTCTCTCTTTTGACCATCATAGATAACAGAAAATTACCATAAGAATGTCTCACAATAGCTTGTTGATTTTCATGCTTATAGACTTGTTATTTTGTGCTGAGCAACAGGGATAAACTATTTATAAACTAACCTTTACAACATCATCAGTCTTGATGGCATCAACCATCATGAGGGTATCATTTAATGAAGTAACGTTTTGTGTTACATGAACTTGTTCAGCAAGGTTCATTACAGTTGCTCCAACATTCTCCATCTTCATAGCAATGTCAGACTTCAGCTGATACCTATAACAAAGAGAGACATTATCATATTTTTGCATATCAGGCTGTTATTTCCGTTAGTTTGACCTATGCTGGAAATTTCATCTGGCATGGGGGTTGCCAGACGAGTCATATGCTGCTATACAAAGGCATACTAAGGATTGTAAGTTTGCCATTATGAATGAAGTTGTAAAATAGTTACTGGTGTAGACATAAATTTCCATGGAAAATTGTTTTATTAAGGTAAAGAATTTAAAATATGATAGAATACAGTAGAATATGCAAGAAAAAATATCTGACATGTTTGCGGTTTGGATCAGAATATCCATTACTCAGGAACCCACCCATGGATGGTACATTGTAACTCAACAAGCCTCGTTACAGCCCCATCAGCGATTCCCCTTGGGAGGGATATTCTGATCAAAACCACAACAAATGCCAGATATCATTAAAACTGAATGCCTACATGTATACTCTAAACAAGAGTTCAAAGAACTTCTATTTAAAAAGGATTACTTATTCAACTTTTAATAAGAACTAAAATATCCAATTTTGACACCTAAGCTGCATTTGAAAACAAAAAGTATATCTTAATATAAGATATAATTCCACCAAACTATATTGGATATATAGTATTTAAACATCATCTCTGGTGATTTCTAAACTTTAGGTTCTATTCTGGTGGCATAGACAAATCAAAATAATCACACTTTATACTTATCTGATGTACTTACTTTGCCCTGGCAACATCAGCATCTGTAATACTAGTACTGGCTAGAGATAAAAACTCATCTAAAGCTGCTTTTGATACCTGTAAAAATATAACAATATTTTCAAACTTGTGTGGTGGCACATATACAGTGTTACACTACTAAAGAATGAGACATATAACAGATGGGAACAAAAGCTCAGCAACATTCACCAGGAAAAATGTTACATGGATTCACGAGTTTATTCAAAGGCTTTCCTATTTTAAGCTCAAAAAGTTCATGAAAGTTTGTGATAAGACCGAAAGTTGTTTACTTGAAGAATCTTAACAAATCATATCTAATATTAGTTAATTAGTTATAAAGATTTTTGACAGGTTATATTGCCCTATATGAATGGTTGTTTGGAACACTTGCCAAAGCTACCAGGCAAGGGTTATTTTGCAAACATACAGTCATATAACCTGTCAAAAAAGTTTATAACAAATTTATAATACAGTAAGAATCTTCATTTAGAGAAAAAAATGACATTTCTCCATAAATTGACAGCAGCCGTGTATATAAATCTATATAAACGTCATGATCACCTAATGAAAAGCAATGTTACAAACATGCAGTGTTATAAAGATGTTTATAAATAGGCTGCTTTCTCCTGGTACATTCACAGCCCGATTCTTTAAAAAATATAGACAAATCTCTTAATAGTTCAGGTGGCACTTTATTTGTGCGACCTAGATGTATTTGCAGATGTTGATAACTTTCATTTCTTAACCTGCCGAAATTTCCTTATTTAAGTCTTCTAGTTTCCATTTTTGGAACTGCCCATAATCTGTTTGGGGATATCAAGATGAAATTAAAAGTTGATCAACCCACAATATAGAGCCTAGTCAGACAGAACAGATCTGACAGAGGCCTTAAACAAGGCTGACAAAATTTGGTTCTTTTGAAAACTGGTACACTTCATCAAAATCTTAATTTATTTCAAATGTGATTGATGTTATATGTATGTAAAAAGTTTGATAAAAACCTTTCCAATATCTTGAGGATCAGCTGCAACTGTAAATCCAAATAATCCAGAGTCTGAATAGTTTACATTGAGACCCTTTAACTGCAAATACAAAAATAATGAACATAATACATAAAAGTATGAAGACAATCCATTTATCAATAACCAAGTAACGATTTAAGTTTGCGTACAGTAACTGTAACAATACAGTACCTTTAATTTTTTTCTTCAGAAAAAAGTCCAGCTCAAAATACTGCAGATCATTAAACTCATCATTGAACACTTCTTATACAGCTGAGCTACAAACTTAATGCAAATAAAATACCTAAAACTTTAATTATGTTACAGTGCTTACCATAAATTCCCCATCTGTGACCTTTTTAATAGCTGAAGATAGCCGAGATCCTTTGACATTTGCAACATATTTTACAGATGTACTAGGATTCAATACCTGCTGCACAAGAGCTGCACTTAGTCTATCTGCACTTGACATACTACAAAAGATAACAAGAGGTCACTTAAACTAATGCAAACAATTTTGTACTTAAGTTTACAAATAAACAATTGTAGACCAAAGGCACATGCCTGAACAAATCTTCTTTGATACAAAAGAACTTACATTAATTTTGTATTTAAGTATACAAATTAACAATTGTAGACCATAGGCATAAATGAAATTTAATAATGTAGAGATAATCTTCAAACTAGCTTCATTTCATTGCCATTTCTGCCAAAACAACATCTTAATTATATAAACAGATTTATTTATACATTCATAAAACATGTTTTACATAGAAAACTTAAGAGTGTCAAAGGGGCCTCATTTCTGTTGCTTGATTAATCATTTTATTGTTTTCATTCTTTTGGTCATTTAGCAAGCTGCAATTATTCCTTCCAAATACATATGATAAACATGTAAGTCTGAAATAATTTTTGAAATTCCAATGATGAATTCACATAAACATCCTAAAACCCAGAGAGCCTTATTCTTTATCACATCATCTTCAAAACAACTCAAATTTAAGAAAATAAGTTCCATGCTCACAAGACCATTATTTGTGTCAAGTTTAACTCCACCCATTATTTCAATCTTATATTTTTTTTTTTGGTAAGATCCACAAAATAGTAGAAATTTATTATCTTACATTAAGATAAACAAGACCTGTCGGTAGGACAGCAACGCTCGACTATTCTTAGTGCTTGATAGTAAGGAAAAAGATTGATAGAGTTACCTCCTCCTGTTTACAGGTTGGGGTCATGATGTTGAACAAGTGTGCAAAGTTTCAAAGCCATATTTCAATGGACTTTGAAAATATTTGAACTATTACAAAAACTTTAACGTAAATTCTAAGTCGAAAAAGGGGCATAATTCTGTCAAAATGCTTGATAGAGTTACCTCCTCTTGTCTACAGGTTGGGGTCATGATGGTGAACAAGTGTGCAAAGTTTCAAAGCCATATGTCTATGGACATTGAAAATATTTGAACTATTACAAAAACTTTAACATAAGTGGTTACGCGGACGCCGACGCTCGGGTGACTGCAATAGCTCTACTTATTCTTATCGAATAGTCGAGCTAAAAATCTGAGGAATACACAAGAAACAAATATGTTTCCGAAGTGTGTACCAAATCAAATATATCCTGATTTCTAAAGAACAACAACAAAAAAAACAAAAACAAAATGTGACTTTATAATATAATCTAATTTGTGTCTATTCACTTAGAATGTTCAATCTATCATGCCATTGAGCACTGGTGAGCTAAAAACAGCCCATTCATTTAAGCATTGTGTATAAATACCTTGGCCCTTCAGTGGCAAATGTCACGTATGTCAGTGGGAAATCTGCCCGATTTATACGTCTTTCACCTGTATAAATGGAAATAAAACAGAAATTACCTATGGAGAGATAGCATTCCATTATCAAGAGGTGGAAAAAAGGTGCACAAATGAAACAAGAGGGTCATCATGGCCCGAAAGATGCTCACCTAAATAATATAACATAAATTTCATAATTTCAGTTGCGTAATATTTATAGTGATTGTGACTCAACTATGAAGCTGAAACTCTGGAACATTTTTATGATATAAGGTAAGTCCTTTAAGGTTTTGAATTACAATTGAGTTCAGTTTTGCATGATAAACTAGTATTTCTGCATTATGACTTCTTTTGTTATAGACAAGTGAAACAATCATCAAATTTTGCTCCATCAAGTGATATTTCAATCCAATCAAAATCATGTTCAGCCAACGGATCACTTTGAAAAAGATACCAAAAGCTGTAGTAAATTAAAGGAAATGATCTACACTTACCTCCAAAATACTTGGCTTTTTCATCGTTTGTAACAGTTCTAGCGATATCATAGAATTTTAATACATCCTTCACCACTGCAGACTCTATTGTCTGATCTTCACTGATTCCATATTTTGCTATTTTTTTCTTAACTAAGTCAATCTCAGTACCACACATTTTCAATAAGTCTTTTACAGCCACATTCTGATCAACACCATGCATGGTCTTAACTCTGTCAAAAACCTCTCTCTGAAGGTAGGCAATCTCCTCACTGTCATATTCTTCATCTCTTGAAACTGGAGAAATGGCCTCCTCCAAAAGATCTGTCAAAACATCAGAATCTATACCTGCGCATGCAACCCCCATTCTATCTAATCTACAGGTTTTTGCTATAAAGCAAGTTGCCTGAAAACAAAAAGTCAGAAGTGCTTCCTTGTCAACAGTATAGCTTTTAGTTAGTCATTTTCTTCTTAAATATAGGTTATTTATGAACACTGCTCTAGCAAAGTGAAACTTTAGTGGTAGGTCATTGAAAGGAGCATGCATACCAAGTTTGGAGTCAATCTGACTTATAGTGACTGAGTATGGCTTTGGACAAGGCTAAGGGGAGGCCGCCGCTCACAAATTTTCAAAGTAACCCCTGTAGTCAACTTTTTCAAGGGGACACAAAAAGAAATTAAAAGAAACTTCTTAAAGGGATTTTTTCACTAACAGCTGTTGAATTTTGTAAAGTGAAACTTTTTGGAAGTATTCTTTTTTAAAATCCAAACAATATTTTTTGCATCAGATATAAAGCTTCATACACTTTAATGTAGCAAAACTCGTTTTTCATTGAACAGCTATAAATACTTTATTACCGTTTCTTGTGTAATTTTGCCAATCAAATTTGGAGAAGCAAACAATGAATTTCCAAGTCCATGTCTGAAGGCTGCCTCATGTATCCCCTCCATTAATACTGTAAATGCAAGCAACATACAAGTATTTATCTTCATTACCAATTTTTAAGAAAGAGATATTACAAGAAATGTTACTGTAATCATATTCTTATGGAATAATTCTATTGAACAGTTTAAATTCTGCCTACGTTTGAAAAACTTTGCAATGAACAGGTAAGAAATGTTTATCAAACTTAATTTTGATGCTGATCTTGATCCTTAAATTACAGTAAACACTGGTGTAGGAGATACCACATACAATAAACAAAAATTGGCAAACTGTTTTCTAGCAACAACTCAAAAAGCAATTAATGATCAATAATTCAAAGTGGTGCTTATTTATGCTTATGTATACATACAAACTTCTGGCTGGTTTTGTAAAGCTGTCACATCAAACTGCATTTTAGCGTTGTGATTACTGTCTCGCCACTCCCATTTATTAAAGTCACGACCCTCCATTAATGGGTAAACCACTTTAAATGCATTAGGCCTGTATAATGTTGATAAAAAAACAACTTACATAACTTCATAATTTATCAAGAAAAGAATGTTTGGTTCATTGACATCAAATTTACATAACTTTACTTACTTAATCATTGATTGCTCCAAGCAATCTTGATGTTCTACAGATAAGCGTCTAATGAAAAATAAAAGATGTTTGTAAAACACTTATGACCCCCACCCCTCGCCAGCAATATTCATTATGGGCAGTGTACATAAAAATAAAATTTACCTTTTAAACTTAAAATCAATCAAATTTTAATAATAATGGTACAATCATAATACAAATATTGTAATTTAGGGGGTCATAGGGCAGGCACAATGGCACAGTCTAAATTAAACACTGAATAAAGTCCAATAAAACATGCCATATATTAACAAGAATTTAAGAATTTATTGTTTTGTATTTTGTTATAATTTGATATTAAAATCGTATTTTTAAAATCTCATACAAAAATTACAATTCAATGTTACATGCAAAAAGGACAAGTTCCTTGCACAAAATCAACTGGAAGTGTTGACATGACAAGTGTCGACATTCTCAAACTTTATTATCAATAATGTACTAATACTTACAAATTGTTTCTTGTGCATGTCAAAGAATACATGGTGTAGTCTCTTGTTGTTACCGCACTGAAAATATATAATCAAATCATTACAACTGAAAATATATAATCAAATCATTATGAGAATAGTTTCAAGGTCACGTGACCACAGAGTAACCATATAACATTATAAGCAAAATTCTCAGATATTGCCACAATTTTTCCAGATGACATTTACTGGAGAGCTGGCCTATATCTAGATGCATTGGAGCCATTATTATTACAGTTAGTGATGGTCCGATTGTCGCCGCTATCCGATTATAGATCGGTATGTTGATAATGTCGCCGACATCGATTGTGGTCGAACAGAATCGATTGTCGCTTAGTGTTAATTTTTGTTCCTTTGTGGTAGTTATTTTTCGTAGTTTTTTTTAGCTTTGCGCTATTTAATTTGAATACTCTTCAATCTTCACGAAAACATCATCAAATGTCTGGAATCATTTTGGTTTCCACAAGCTGAATATTGAAGGAACCGCTACCCGTGATAACTTGGACATGGCTTAAGTTGTGTGCAAGCTTTGTGGTAAAGGATATGCAAATAAAGGTACCCTACCCGTTTAAATTAAAATCGGATTCTGATACTGTATTTTACCGTAACAATCTTCGTTACTCTGTCCATTTATGTTAAATAATAAATTTAAAAGACTTCTAAACTTATATTTACCATGACACCGTTTATGGTACGGCGATTCTGTTATTAAAAATGAAATAAAATAATTAAATTTTTTATGTGAAATGGTAACTTACATTTTTATTCCTGATCATGCATATAAAATTAATTTATTAATCACATAGATACATTTTATTAATTATTGGTAGCAGTTATTAATTTATTATAATTTATATGACCATGAATAGTTCCCACAGGAATGGGAACCCTGAATCTCAAAATTTCCTTAGTTTAACCATATTTTATAGCTCGATTGTGAAATAGGCACTTAAATAAAAACTTTATTTTTGATTAAATAAGCAAATGCTGGCAACAGAGACACATTGATTTTTCTGAATATGAAAATCATTACATGTATGTAAACTGTGTCCTGACCTAAGAATTTGTATTTTGTAATATGTTAAACAGACAATTAGATAAAACATTAATTTTTATTAAATAAAAGTTATAATGATTTCTATTTTCTAGTTAGTTATGCTGGAAAACATTCAACCGATTATTCCGATTAATTGATCGGAGAGCTTGTCCGATTGTTCCGATTAATCGATTATGAGTTTGTCTTCCGATTCCCAACACTAATTACAGTATAAAGATTTATTGTAACATGCAATCAATGCTTTGCAATAGGTTGGTATCAATTGGCATTATAATATAGGAGGGTGATTATGCTCCTGGTAGTGATGGTGTTGGTAGTGATGATGATTGGAGGGACGATAAAGTGATATTCAGTAGGAAACAATTTAATTTTCATTGCCATCATTTTTGGTGGTCATCATTATCATTGTCATCATCTTCATCTTTTTCATATCATTTATTATTATCATTATTGTAAATATGGATATTATTATCATTTTATTATTATAATAATTCATTATTATTATTGTTAGCATTATTATTATTATCATTATTATTAATGATGATGACAACAATTGGGTGGTGGTGATGATGATGATGATAATGTTATTTAATATCATTATTGTTTCAATTGGTATCATTGTCATTATCATTGTTATTGAGATAATGATGACAGTTGTGATGATGTTAACTGTTATAAGAATTGATATCTGGCAAGGCCAAAACACCATTTTTGGGGAAGGGGCCTCAGCCTTTTTCTTGGGGAAAATATTCGTGATTTTGGCATACTTTGGGAAAAGGGGTCTCAAATTTAACACAAACTTTTAACAAGTTCTTCAAAATAGAAAAGCAAAAACCACTGGGAAATACTTATAAGGCAGTAAAAGACCTTAATTCAACACTTATCATTTAATTTTGTTCTAAATTCTATGGGAAATTTCAAAAGACATGGTATTTTTGAGGACCAAACTGGGGGAAAAAAGAAGCTAGTTTGGTTGGGGAAGCAGCATATATTCGGCCTCTATAAAGATGGTTTTTTTGGCCCTGAATTTTGTTATAAGAATTATTAATTTTGTTGTTATTTTACAGAAAATGTCATCATAACTTTTGCGTATTTCATACTGTTGACATCATTAACGTAATTTCCTATATTGATTTGTAGATACAACACAGTGTAAGAAAAAAGATTAAAATGTGATTTAGAAAATAAACAGCAAACTCCTTAATGAAAAGGGGTAGAACCTCTTGAAACGTTGGAGGTTGATAACCAATTTTAGGCCAAGGTCACATCTAAATTATTCAATATGTTTGTTTGGTAGCAAGTCTTGTTTTGTTTAAGTTTTAATCAAATCTGTACATTTATAACAAAATTATGACAATTTAACCAAAATTAACTAATTTGACATGGACAGTCAAGGTCATATAAAGCTCAAGGTCAGTTTAACCTTATAGAATGTCTTGTCCAAAATGTGTTTTGTCAAGGTATGAAGATAACACATTTATAAATTCAGACCTGGGGCAGTTGTTTATCACAATTATTGATTTTTTAATCAATATCATGATTACTGTAGCAATACCTCTATTTTTTTTCTTTGAAAGAAAAAGTTGAGCTACAAATAATTTCAACTTCAAACCCTCACAGTGTGTGAAAAACCCAACATCTCAATAGAAAATAGATTGAAGATAAGCTTGCCTGTCAAAAAGAACGCGAGTTTGACAGTTTACATAACTTTTGTTTTTGCATCTGCCCCTATACCAAAATCATATTCAAATATGAGCAAGTGACCCCCAAATGTTTGTTCAACAAATGACACTTGAACAAAAAGATATACTTACTTAAATCTGGTACCTAGTTTTTCTAACTCCTTAAAAACTTTGAATGCAGATATTTCTTCTGTGCCCTGAAATGTTAATCAATTTATCAATTGTTAAACATAAATGTACATGATAAAAGTGCCAAGACAATAAATAATATACTGTCAATGGACATCTTGATAGCTTTACATTTTTTTTGTAAAGCAATTTCCCAAGAAGGATAAATGTATCTTTTAATACATTATTTCATGCATATGCTGAAGAGTTACTATTAAACCTACATCTAACATACAGTATAATTCAACTTTCACTACGGATAAAAAAATCTGATCCATCTAGATTTATCTTGACAATGGCAATTAATTAGAAAACTGAACTCACCAAGTACGCAGTGTGTCTCATAAGATGTGTAACTCCATAATTGCTGCCATCTTCATACCTTGACCCTGCCTTCAACACAAATAACAACCGGCTCAATGGAGCCATATTGTTTGTTGTTGCCACTTTCACCATATCAATTGAAGAGGGCTGTAATATTAATTTTATAGTTATATATATACCATGTTTTTCATTATAGTTCATATACAGAGTTCTGTGCATTTGTTGCAATTCTGAAAATTTAGTTTCAAGACTTGTCACAATGAAAATTGAACTAAAATCAATGCATGCATCAATTATTATTTTAAAATGATTGTTTCCTACATTTCAGCTCTTTCCCGTAATGTTTTTGTTTGGCATGATTAGGCACAAAAAAAAAAATGCTGTCTGGTTTCTGACCAACAAAAAAGGGAGAATGTAGGTAGTTCTTTCTTTTTTTTTTTGTACACATATAGAGTTCTTGGTAACATTTATTTCAGTGTCTTGGTTACTTAGGCATATGCTTTGCTGCTGGACACATATATTTCAGGACTTTGCATACTCTGGATTTCACCTGAGAATGCATAAATAAAATTAATTGTATATAACTACAATTTCACAAATACATGCACACACATAAATGATTCAGTGTCTCTATTGAAGGGCAGTTCTATGTACTTCTAACAGTGCAGCAATCAGCTGATTAGTTTTTGTTAAATAACACTGAGACTAGTCACTATGGTTGAAGGATCAATATCTCCCGACAGCAATCATGCTAATCTACAGGGCTCGAGCTAGTGGGCGATTCGGGCGAAATAGTCGCCGAATTCCGCCTGACTTCGCCGACATCCTACATGAAAGCGAAGATGAAGTCGCCCGATTTTATTGATCCATTATTGAAAATTACCAACAATAACTGTGAATAACATGTTGTGTGTGTTTGCTTTGTTTACCCTCGCCGCCGGAAAAAGGAACTGTCATGCATCTCAATCAACGCAATATGTCATTAATCCGTTTGTTTACCAACATGTCATAAAAGTCTAATTAACAGACGCTCGAGGAACAATTAGACTCCGCCCACGGCGAGATTACCGATACGTGCGAGAAACCAATCGTAATTCACGTTTTAATCGAGGCGACATTATTTAACCAATCATTAAATCGCTAACATAGAACTACCTGTAACAATTATTTATGATGGACGGATCAAACGTCAATTAAATTTTCACTATCGAATGATTGTCAGAATTAAGAGGACCCCTCGACATATAACTGTAACGGTAATCTTAAATGAAAGTTATGATAACCTTTTTTGTCGACGAGTTAAATTTGATAAAAATTAACGGCGTATTACACTGTATTTATTACAAATGTAGTGAAATTAAAGATCGTTTCTTTCGTTATCTACTTTTATTTTCTTTACAACATAAGTGAATATGAATATAATGTCCGGCGCAAGCTTTTTAATAGTAAATCAGAAGGGAATAACTGTTAATCCACCCATGATATGAGGACATATCTAATGATATGATCCATGATAGGAATCAACTATGGCTTTTTTATCTTCATTTAATGCAATGGTTGCATTACATGATACTCATTCTCATTACTTGTTTCAAACTACTTTTAAACAGAGACATAGATAACAATAGTTATAATAATAGCTATCTATGTCTCTGTTTTAAATTAAAATTGAATATTCTGTTGTAACACAAATCCAATTCATTTAATAAGATATGTACAGTGAGTCAACATAATTGCGATAACATACAACAAACATCGATAAATGAATCTCCTCACTTCTCCCTAAAGTCTCCCCACTTATCCCTAAATCAGCTTGAGGGAGAAGTGACTTCTCCCTAAATTTTGAACCTAGCTTGAGCCCTGATCTAAAGAGTCTAAGCAGGACATCAAAAGATGATACTTTTTTTATTAACTCTGATCCAAAATTCATCAAAAATTTGAAAATAAGATGAAGGATTCACTTCTGATTGTTGACTTGATTAGTTTCAGTAATAATTAATGTTTCATACAACTATTTCTAAGCAGGGCAAATCATAGGCTAAAGGTCAGTGGGCATTAAAACTTAATAAAATTTAAAAAAAAAAATCTGTATCAGAGTATCAGTAGATCTACTTTAACTCATGTTTACATATCATATGGAAATTGGAGGAAAGATACTTGTAAGTAAGGTTCAACATCAGACTGATACAAGTATGACTCAACAAAAAGACTGAATTTTTTTTATAAATAATGTCTTTACAAATGCATAAATCTAAAACAATAAGTATAAATACCACTTTCAAAAATTGAGGCCCCTCCTCAGCCTTCCTCACAGCCTGGACACTGTACAAGCGTCCCTGAAATACAAATTGAACTGTAATAGTAATGGATTAAATAAATAAAAAGTTCTGAACAGTTTGTTTTCATTCAATTTCTCAACAGATGATTGCTGTGAAGAAATGTCAATGATATCTTACTGAAATTATAAATTCATGACCTTACCAAACTCAAGTCTTTAAAAGTTATATTTACAGTTGATAATATAACTTGTGTTTCAAACCGAAGACAATTCATTCAAAAATAACAAAGTTACAGCCAATAATAGCCAAAAAAATGAAAATTTCAATAATTCGACCATCAAAGTCAAGGTCATTTATGAGTGAAGGTCAATGTCTGTCTGGTTATTTTTAAGGGCTTTCCTTGAAGATTATTATGTTCTAGTTTGAAGACAATCCATTCATGAATGGACAAAGTTACAGCCAATAATAGCAAGAACAAGCAAACTTTTGACATTGAAGGACAAGGTCATCTATGCAGTGGTTGAAATTAGCTGTAGTCTGATAGCCCCTGACTACTATATTTCTCCTCGGGCTACCACCTTTTCACAGTAACAAGCCCGACCAGGCTAAGTACTGTATTTTCAGAGAACAAATGAATCGTGCTAGTGAAATGTCTTTTGGGCTAGTGAATACATTAATATTCCAATCTGGTAGTCCAAACAGCCTAGTCGATTCAAATCCTAATTTCTTACACTGCTTATGGATGAAGGTCAAGGTTAGTGTGGTCTACTGAAAGGTCTTGTCCCAAAGGTTGTTGCCGGAGAATACTTCCGGTATGAATAACCTTCTAAAAATATCGTCTACATGTAGAATATTTCTTTAAATACAGGCACACAGGACTAATTTCGACTCGTGGAGCATTAAACCATTAAAATGTATGTAAAATCCAGTTGTTTGCATGTGTGATCGACCCGTTTAATCTCTTTGTTGATGTACTTCAAGCGTAAATACCAGGTTACAATGTACATGTCGGGACGGTCTCATCTTTCGGACCTGGGAGATTTCTTATTATCGGGCTTTACTGAGGCAGTTTGCGTTTAAATAAGGATCTGTTCCTAGTCAGTTTTGATAGAAAAATATGTATTGCATTGATTCCATGCAAAAATCCAACGGTATTACCATCCGGTGGAAAATTTTGACACTGAGAACGGACATACCCAAAAATTTCATACTCGGATGTTGCATACCTTGTCTATTACATAAATAACAAGGCTAAACACATTTTAGGTCAAATCAATGCCACTAACACTTTAATCATGTCTAATGTCAAGTTTGACAGTTTCACGTACAGATGTAGATAATGGTAAAAATAAATTGTTCATATTTGAAATTAAGATGTTATTAATAGAAATTAAGTTTATTTACATATTTTTAAGCGGGGAGAGTTGTTATGGGTCTTCAACCCCCACCCGGTTGAAGGAGCACTCTATATTCTTCTGAATCTAGCATAATATTTCTTATGAATTTATTATATAATTAAATTAAAATACCTTGAGTGACCTGCATATATTTCTAGACATTAGTGCTGACATGATTGACAAGAATATCGAAAATCAAGTTGAAGGTGAAAATCGCTGCCAAAATGGCCGATATCTTGTGTCACGTGACCGGGTTCGTAAATCTAATTGATGGTAAACGTTCCGCGGAAAATCTCAACCTAACTCGGCCCAGTGAATTTTCGTACTATTTGTTCTATAGTGAATCAGTCACAATTGAGGCTTAATTCTGCATTCAACTGTTCTTTATGAATTATATACTGTCTTCAACGCTATGTAAGTCAAGTGAGACCCGAAATACAATATGTTAGCCATGTATTTTTTTCAGAAATCTTCATTCTATTTAAATTCACCACTTTAAAACTCCTGACTGCTCACAACAAATGAGATAAAAAAGGTTAAAGAGGCTTATTACCAGTATATTGAAGACATCCAAAATTTAAGTTACACTGATGCCTAAAATGGCAACAAACCCAACACTAAAAAGATGTATATACCCCTTAATCAAGCATTCAAAACAAAAAACATCTGTTGTTCCCCCATTAAAGTATGAAAATAAATTTCACAATGATGTTGTCTCAAAGGCTACATCTTTAAATAAGCTATTTCAGTCAGTATTTAGCCCCAAATCTCCTCTATTTCTTGTGTAAAATGAACCCTAAGCAAGGTCAATCTGTCCCTTCTATGCCAGATATCCATATAGGAGCAAAAGGGATCGAGAAACTTCTCAACAACCTAAACCCTCATAAGGCCTGTAGTCCGGATAAAATAAAACCAATTCTTCTCAACAAACCTTCCAAAGAGCTCTCTCCAATCCTAGAGTTTTTTTCCACAAAAGTCTATCGATGAAGGCTTATTGCCATTCCAGTGGAAATCGGCACCTTCAAGAAAGGCGATAGGTCAATCCGTGCCAATTATAGGCCAATTTCCTCAAGATGTGTTTTGTGTAAGGTTATGGAACACATATATAGTTTTCTCTTCCATTGTTAAACACTTAACCAACCATAACATCCTTAACAACCTCCAACATGGTTTCAGGGAAAAAAGGTCATGTGCTACGCAACTTCTTATGTTGGTAAATGACCTGGTCACCTCGATCAGCATATGAGAAATAAAACACGTAGATCTAATTCTTTTAAATTCCAGTAAGGCCTTGGAAAAGGTCAGTCATGAGAAAGTACTGCTGACTGGACTCAGAGGTCAAACTTTAAGATGGGTCAAAAGTTTTATAGATAACAGGCTACAGTCTGTTGTGCTAAATGACAGCTGCTATAACTCCATCCCAGTATCCTCGGATGTCCCTCTCAAGGCTAAGTTCTAGGACCCCACCTGCTTCTCGCCTATATAAATGACCTCCCACAAAACATAAATTACCAGGTAGAAAAGTTGGAGTTAGATTTAGCCCCTCCAAGCGTCAAGTTATCCACGTCACAAAAAGGATGCATCATATCCCAACACAATACTACCTTCATGGAGTTCAATTAGAATCGGTTATTTCAGCTAAATACCTAAGCGTGGATATGTCAGAAAACCTTACATAGGATACCCACATAAACAGGACATCCAAAATAGCTAACCAAACCTTAGGATTCCTACGCAGAAACATAAAGGTTAAATCCCAATCCATTAAGTCCATTGCTTAACAGAGGTTAGTAAGACATAAGCTTAAATATTGTTCCGAAGTATAGTCTCCAACACCAAAATACAAATAGATCAAATTGAAAATGTCCAAAGAAGAGCAGCCCGATGGATCAGGCTAGATTCTGGTCACGGACATGCTTAACTCCATTAAGCTTGTAAAGTGGAATTTAGACGTATAGATGCTAGCTTACCCTATTCCATAAGATTCACCATGGTCTGGTTGCTATCCCCATAGAAGAATATGTTACAAACCTCTCTCGAACATCACACCATGGCCATCCCTTATGTTATAGGTTATTCAGAGCAACTTCAGACTATTAAAAATTCTCTTTTTTTCCTAGGACCAGGGTCTTTCAACTCTTTATTGTTTGCTATATGCAAATTATGTAAGTGTTCAAGAAAAGGGCGAAAATAAAACATTAGCAAAATTGAAAATTCTAACAACATGATGTTCTTTAAGAATTTTTAAATTTGTGAAAAAAAGATAAATATTTCAGAAAATAATGTTTTAAAAGCCATAATCTGTTGGAAAACAAAGATTGCTTGTTCATAATATTTGCCGACAAACGGCGCCATTTTGAAAATGCACCAACTCAAACATCTAATATTTGTTAATAACACCGTGAAATATAAGTCTTTACACGAAACGATAAAAAATTATTTTTTCTCTGTAAAATCAATTTCTATTTTGTCAGTGAACAATGCATAAATTAAATAAAAGCTTATATGAAACTCTGACCTATTTTCAAATATGAGCTTGACACCGGGAACGAAAAATTCCTAATTTCATATAGTAAATATATAAATTTGTTCCTTTTTAAAGTTAAAACTGAGAATGTAATGTAGGCTCAGGATTAGTTTTTAGTATTTTTTATTTGTCAGTTTAACAACAAAGTATGTAAAAATTTGATGTTTGAAAGGTGATGTATTATGCCAGATCACGGTAGATCACCTAATCACGTGACTCAGCGGAGGCATCATTTTTCGTAAAATTAGTCCGACTCCAGACCATTTTATTTGAAAGACCCTGCTAGGACAGTATACCCCTGGAACCACCTACCCCCTGCAGTTGCCCTACTCCCTACCCCAGAGCAGTTCAGTGCAGCCATAGCTTGCGAGGGGCAAAATGAAACACAATTTGTTTTATTTAAGGGTGGATGCGGGGCTTTATAATTGTCGTCCATGTCCACGTGTTGTACATTTAATGCCGTACATAAGCGTTTATATAACTTAGCGATCTTTGTCATTTCTATATTTAATTACAATGAAAAATCTATACTATTATTATAACCAGACTTACTTTTCTTTTGAAAAAAAATCTATCTGGGACAAAATTTTAAGTCCTTAACAAGTGCCAGACCATGACTTAAGCATGTAATGTTCGCTTCTTAAACTTCTGCGCGCACTATAAAGATATACTTTATAATTGATTTATTAATTAAAGATAAAATTAGATTTTCCAAATTAAGAATTAAGCAATTTCAGCATTTGGATGGAATTATTATTACCAATTATGAAATGATTTTGCCCACGTTTATCTATTAATATATATACACGTACATGTGCAAGTCGCGAGCATTATCGATACACGTGAATTTCGGCGACAATTTTAAAACATCTGTATCTGATTAAAATTTTTAGTCGGTCAAGTTTGGTAAACAAATACAAAAGACATACACAAATATATATGTAGCCGATGGCAAATGTTATTGTGTTTGATGTACGAAGGACTGTCTTGAATACATCTATGTGTATTTTTTAAGTTGCATATATGCATTTTAAATTTGTTCTCTTTATAAGATATCCTCACTGTGAAACGATTTTTTTAAACAACACGTTCTCTGCAATGATTATTCCCACAATTTACGACAGCAACGTAAATGATGATACAGATGATGATGATGACACTGATGATGATGATGATAATAATAATAAAATAATAATAATAATGATGATAATGATGACGGCGACGACGACAATGATGATAAAGGTGATGATAATGCGACGCATGACATCCACATATACTTAAACATTCTGTAAACCTCGGGTGACTCCAATATCTCACCTCTACGCGCTACATCGACAGATTTAAAATGATTGGGATTTCGATGCTCTTGATTTCGAATAGAAAGGTTCATAATATATTCGGTAGAGGACAAGTTTTCATCAAGAAAAGTCAAAAGAACATTTCAATTTTTACATGATCAGGATAGAAATGATCGGTAGTAAAATTTGCTCGCGCCAACGAGATGCTTAAGTAATAATAATAATAATAATAATAATAATAATAATAATAATAATAATAATAATAATAATAATAATAATAATAATGATAAGAATAACAATAATGATAATAATAATTTAGTAATAATACTGGGCTCGGGCCCAACCGTTCCTCGGGACTATGCATGCGTTATAATACGGAAAAATGTGCGTTAACCCTTTATAGACTTTAATCGCACGAGCCAATTTAAGGATCCTCTTGTTTATATGAATGTTAACATTCGCAAAGAACGTGAATGAAGATAGAGTTATGTATCTTAAACCCAAAATCGTCCGCACAGCTATTTAAACATTTTACTCTAATTTTTGTAAGTCAATTTAGTGTTGCTTTGTCTACTGGAGCTTTATGTTTGACATCACTTTTGATATAATACATATGGTCTAGTTCTATATCAAAGAAGTGTAATATCAGATATAATTGTGATAACAACCATGACATTTTGTAAAGCAATTTGAGAGATAAAAAATATTTGTAATTTGATACGTGACTAGGAATAAAACTGAGTAGACTACTGTTGTAGCTTCCAAAAGGATATAACTATGTGTATGTGATAAATATATTGCAGCGTATTTTTTTTAAAAAAATGTGGTTTAATTGATTGATGTCAACTTTTTGACTGAACGATGGAAGCGCAAAAGGGCAATGCTCTTGATATGGGTGGAGAAAACACTGATTCCCCTGATATTAAGACACACGAATGTGCTGTTGTCGAGGTGCACGGAAAGTTTCAAATGTCAGAGAAAAGGATTTTGAAAAACTTGGTGGTGGTTAGCATTGCGTTTTTACTTTTGTTTACAGCGTTCCAGTCCTTACAAAATCTTCAAAGTAGTTTGAACAAGGAGGAAGGTCTTGGTACTATAAGTTTATCAGTGATTTATGCGGTAGGAATAATAGCGGGGATTTTCTTACCTCCACTTGCGATAAATATTCTAGGATGTAAGTGGACAATGGCGGCCAGCATTATTTGTTACACTGTCTTCATTGCAGCCAACCTCTACGCAGTATGGGCAACGATGATACCGGCTTCCATAATTATCGGTACGTGTGATCAGAACGTATATAAGTGTATCAACAGCATAGTAATAACATTTATTCAGCATTCAATTAAACAAGATTGCCTAAAACATCCGAACTTCTTCTCTTATACTTATAATGCAACTTGAATTATGTGATACATGATTAATTTGTACCTCAAGTACTTGCGCATATATACATGTATAAGAGTTTTTGTCTGAGTTATTGACCTTTCGTTTTGACCTATTAATGAAGTTTGTGTCGCCTGCTACACAGCATCTAAGACATGGTGCAAAGAAGCCACGACATATAGGGATCAATGCTCCGTCGTCTGCCTTCCGTCCGTCTGTCTGTCTGTCTGTTTTTCTGTCCATCCGTCACAAAACTGGCATAGAATTAGTATAGAATTTTGTCAGAGCTATTGCCCTTTAATGATTTTTTTAGAAGTTTGTCCGGACCATTTCTCGTACACTTCAATGTACATGTTATTTGAATGAAATTGTAGGGGATTAATCCGTACCTCAAGTATTGGCTCACATTTGAAGGGATTTTGGTTGAATGCTTGTTTGCTAAGTTATGACCCTTGGATTAAAAGGCGTATTGGCCCAGTAATGATTTTTGTGTCGCCTGCTACACACTAGCTACAACATGCTACAAAGTAGAAACAAACTGGCCAATCAACCCTTAATTGACATTACGCCGCCTGTCAATCAAGCTGGCAGGGGTCTTACAGATAAGCCAGTCGGCGATCGTTATCAGTTTCATGCTAAGATGTCTGCAAAATCCGCCATTTTCCTTAGACAAGCTATTTGTATAAGAGTATTAATATTGAAATTATTTTGATTATTTGTCAATTCAAAGCTATTAAGTCGGTATATCAAAGTTACCAACTATCATGACATATTGACAGATGGAGTCAGTTAGTCCATTTTACAAAAGAAATCAGTAACTTTGTATATGAAGATAATAAGTAATATAGCAGGTGCAAAAGCAGAGACATAGATATTATCTAGATGTTATCTTCATCTCTGACGAAAGTTAAAAATAGAGAGAAATAAAGAATTTCTAAATAATGTACAAAACAACAAAATTGAAAATGTTGCAGGCTCGGTTTGATTGATTTTGAATGGGGATCAGAGGTTATGAAGCCTGGCTATACCACAATGCATTAAAAAAGGAAAAAGTTTAAACAAATACTCTATTCCTTCCTTTATTACAATTATGTCTATTCATAATCACATACTACATTATAAGGTCTGATATGACATTTTTTGTTCCTATATAAAATAGTGTCAATAAAATGCTGCAGTAGAAAAAAGAATTAACTTGCAAATAAAATGAGAGAATATGCAATGAATATCTAATGTGAAATTATCCTGCCTAAATATTTCTATGAAAGCTCAATGAATTAAAATTAAATATTTAGATACATCTGCTTCAATAACATTATACCTAATCACGGTTTAAATTTAAAACCGAGGTCTCACCGTCTGGTGTATGCGAAACTTATTTTGAAGTGAATAACATTGCGTTATTGTGTTATTGATATAATTTTACTATTTATATGTTCCGCTACTTCAATTTTAACTATCTTTGAATTTGTAAACTAAAATGATATTTTGTCAGAAACATTTCCCTTGAAGTCAACGAGAAATATAACAAGATCTTTGCCAAATGTTTTATTTATAATTAATGCATGAATGAAGTTATTTGTTACTTTTTTAAATACCATAATATATTGAACTATCCAAGAAAAGCATTAAAATGTATATATGTATATATATATATATATATATATATTAATTTGTATAAGGTAAATTCATTAGTCACTTAAGTGGCATAATAGTTTCCTGTAAACGTCGGTACCGAGTTTTGTCTGAGGTTCTGAATGACCGGGCCACGTGAAACAGTTGGCGGAACAATCTTTTCTTTGGCGTAATGTCCATTGGCGATCATAAGGCGACACGTTTGATCCCTGATTGCTCATGTTTACTTTCGTCACCAAGTTGTCAAATTTATTCAGTTAAAGTCTATCCATGAGTAATGTTTGGAACTTTAACACGGTATCAAAAATAAACGGTTTTGAACAAAATTATAACATTTCTGGTGCATAATGGGCCTTTAACCAACACAAGAGCAGTACTATCTTTGTGTTTATTTAATTTTCACTTTTATGAGGACACATCTAACAAAAAGCACTCTAATCTTTAATACAGTATGATCAAAGAGAACATACATACTATTTGACACAATGATTACATACGGAAGAGTAGGTCAACTTTGTAGTTGCACCGCTTTTGACCAATTTATTTTTGCAAATGCTTACTTAGAAACACTAACCTATACTTTAATATTCACTATTAGGTCGTTATGTTTTATACAAATAAATATGTTGTGTTTTTATATAAGAAATGCTACCATTTGACTGATATGTTTCAAAGGTACGGGGGCAGCAACACTTTGGGCAGCGAAATGTACGTACTTGACAAATATTGGTTCCTGGTATGCTGAAAAAACTAATTCATCAAAAGAAGGAACTATAAGCGCATTCTTTGGAGTTTTCTTCATGATTTTTCAATCAAGTATGTTTTGAGAATATTTCTTTCAGGATACTTTATTCTATATTGGTATAGTAAATGATTTATTATATACTTATAAATAAATGAAATATTAAGAGATATCGATGAAATAAAATGCGTATTTTCATTTTTCGTATTTTCTCTCTAAAAAATTACATTTTACTGCAATCAAGCATATTTTCCGTATTTTTACTGCTGTCTTACCAGACTATTTTCTTCTAATCTCAGCCAAAATTAAATGGAAAAAACGTGTAAACATATTTTTACAAGCACAAGAAACATTTGAATTTTTTAGTTATTAGTGACAAAATATACTTAAAAGTTTGTAATTTTAAGAGAATATTTTGGTACGGACGGGATCGCTTACATATGTTATAAGTTCTTTTGGATATAATATTTAGGTCAGATCTGGGGAAATCTGATTTCTTCCACCGTGTTCAGTCAGAGGATTCCAGATAATTTAAATATCTCGGCTGAAGTACTGGCGAAATGTGGGGCTTCGTACTGTCCCTCTGATTATATTAACAATACGTACCTCGATAAACCAGCAATGTCAAAGGTTGTATAATCATTTTTATTGTTTTAACTTTATTAATCAAAGATACATGTATTTATATATTTTCATGATGTAAACATATAGATAACAGATAAGCATTGTTATTGTCGTTGTTGTTAGAATTGTTCTTATTAGGGTTATGTTCTTATACATATTTCAAAAGTAAATTTTAGCCGTCCTTTTTCTAAAATTAACTATTAACTATCCAATCCGAAATAGAAGTTATTGTTTTATTAATCTGCTTATGTCACTGTTCACTATTTACGGGAGCAAGTGTGTAAGCGGTCGGATAGCCGAGGGTCCCGGGTTCGAGTCCCGGTAAGGCTGCACATTTTCTCACCCAGTGACGCAGAAAAAGTGAATGCAAATACAAAGAAGACACTCATATTTATAAGATACACCCAACAAAGAAACTATTATCGTTGCATTATTATTTATTTTTCAAAAAGAAGATGCGATTTAACACAAAGCATATATAATTGTTATCTTATCTTGAAACAGGTTTATACAGTCTGTGGCATATACCTCGGCACTGCTTGCTTAGCTATATTAACAATCGCTATTTTCCTAGACAACATTCGCCATGAAACAGACGGACGCGAGATGAGCACGAAACAACTGCTTGGAGCAATTGCACGACATTTCTATAATTCTAAGTATCAAAAGTTACTGATACCTCTGACCGTATACAGTGGCATTGAACAAGCTTTTATTGCAGGAGACTATACCAGGGTATGTTAACAAACTTCGTGATATTCTTCAGTCCATAGGTTATGCATCAAAACTACGTATATTAAAATTAAATACTCAAGAAAGGAGATAATGTAAAAAGAATCTTTGGCATTGCTTCATCAACAGTTGAAGGACTTGAATGTTTTCTACAACATGCGTTCGAGCAGGCCTTATGTTGAAATCATGTATGCATCCGGTAAGTTATTGTATGAAAAAGCTGTCCAAATCAACAATAATATATATTCAATTGTAGTAAAGAATTTGCAACTTTATTTATACATGTACCGGACTCGTCACTTGCATGAGTTTTTATATCTATATATAGTCGTACATCAGCTGCACTATCGGTGTATGGAATGTCGGATATGTGATGATAACTTACGGAGTGGCTGATGCAGCTTGCTCATTGATAATAGGCCGGCTGGTAAAATACTTCGGATTCCTACCATGGTTCATTCTAGGTAAAACCCATTAACTGTTTAACAAACTAAATTTGATAAAGATACACACTGTGTTGTTAGTGTAACCGTAAACTTCGGTAATGCAATAAGGTTTAAATGAACCATCAATTTTTAATGTCATTACGCATTTGATGCAAAAACTTTCACACTGGCGTTAATAGAAACATGTTTTTGAACTGTCACGTAAATAATTATATGTTTACTTTCTTTCCTAGCATACTTGATAATAATGATTGATAAGCATTTTGAATTAAAACATAAATTTGAACACGCCAAATGCTTTTCTATTTATGTGTTTTAATAAATAAATAAATAAATAAATAAATAAATAAACGAGGAATCAACGTGTACTACTGGACAGTTTCATGCTTATAGCAATCATAAGGTACAGATCTCCAGTACTACATAAAACATAAAACTTTGATTCCTTTATCGTTTATTTATTCTTGCTCAGGTTTGCCATTGAGCACGGTGCCTTTGGTTCTTGCTCCCACTTGTTTTTGTCACTATGTGTTTTCATATAATTAAAGTGGATTATATTTATAGTTTATAATGCTTCTTGAGTTCTTGCAACAATAGATTTGTTGACCAATGCTGTTTTTTGTTGTATTTTCTCTAAATTACCAAATTTATTCCTTGTATTTCTTAATATAAACGCAACCAAAGGAAATTATCTTTTTTTCTGTTGATGTTTTAAGCATTCATTTTACACGGCGGTACAATAATAACATTGTTGGTGTGGCAACCAGATCCTGAACATCCCGGAATATTCTACTTGTTTGCGATATTGTGGGGTATAGGCGACGCTGTGATACAGACTCTTGTCAACGGTAAATATAATAATTTATTTCACACCTTAAAAAGGAACCAATGAATTCCAAGCGTTTGCAACACGTGATATCCCAATAGAAATCATTACTGTCTTCAGTCCTATCAAGTTAGCCTCGTTTTCAGTTTCTTTTCCCAAAAGTCCATATTAAATCACTATTGTACTTCAACTAGCCGTGTTTTTTTTTATTTTCAGAGTCCTTAAAATGCATGTTAAATCCATATTAGAGTTAATGTAAAGTAAAGAGATCATTTTACATGGTCTAGTCCAAATCTAATTCTACTGGATTCATATACAGCTGCATAAGCTGTTTCTTGTTCAACCAAGTTTATTTACCGTATAATAATATCGGTATTAAATGTAGTTACCGTGGGTTCGGACGAAGGATATATGTCAAAGGCTGTCATTTCAAATATGTATCAAAACATTATGTCAATAATTCGTATTTTATGTCTAATATTTCAGCTCTGTACGGTCACTTGTTCACACACAATCCCGAGTCAGCATTTGCTAGTTATCGCCTATGCGAGTCGGCAGGCTTTATCATCGCTTTCGGTTACAGCAGCTATATTTGTACTTACATCAAGATCTACATCAGTCTTATCTTTATTATAGTCGGAGCAGTATTGTATGGTGTTGTGGAAATGTTACAGAGAAAACAAAAGCGAACTGTAATTGGCAGTACAAGTTAATTAGAGGACTCTCCTTGATGAAACATAATGGTAGTTTTCTACTACCAACTTATTATTTACATTGCGGAAGTCAAACATACAACATTGAGGGACAAACATTTTAAATGATGCTACGGACGAAACTCATTTATTAACTATCAATATTTCTCTTTATCGTTACGATTAATCATTATAACAATATATTTTCATTATTTTATCTTCTATATCTTCTATATTCTATTTTCTATAACTTTTCTCTCTCCCTTTTTGACACATAAGTATAAAAACAATATTGGTAATAGATACAGTTAAAACGGACAATGAAACGTGCAATTCATTTATATTACTATGAGCAATCCAAGAATTTCATCTTAGAATATAGCGTTTTTCAAATTAAGAATCAAATATTTCTTCTTTTTTTGGGACAAAATAATGTTTCTTGTCAAAAGTGTCTTTATACACATTATTGTGTTAGATAGCTCCCTAAGCAATTAACGTGATTATACTAGCATTACTTCACAAGAGAGTAAGCGGTAGTGAAACATGCAACCGGTGCTCAGGAGAGTCTGTGTAAGAGTGAACCTAGAAATTCCCACCAGTTATGCAAAATACACCGGAACTTTTAAATTATAATGAATTTAAAGTATAGTAACACAAACAAAGTTTTGTTTATATTTTAACCATTTTGCTACATGAACATTTAATGGTCCAATGTTAGATGACTATCGTGACCATCCCAGCAGTGAGCCATGCCGTCACACGACACCATGACGTAGTCTCCATTACTGTTCATCTTGATATCAATGCTGTGCTGGTGACCGTTATCAATGCTTGTAAGTAGACCTTTGACAACCTGACCTTTCTTCATGTCTTCAATGTCATACTCGTGAATAAGGATGGTGTGCTCGTGGAGTCCAGGAGGATCACGTGTGGTAGGTGAGACCTGACAATAAATACGGTAAAAGAGGTCTGGATCTCGCGATAGAATGATAACGAACATAGATAATTGATAACACAGATTTGATATTGTATTAACATTCTATGTGTTGTATAAACTCCCTAGAAATTTGCAACTTGATTATAAGTACACATGTTTAAATCATTTAAATTTTTTCATTTTTATTTCATTTAAACATAGTATATCAGCTCTTATATTTGCATTTCTAAGGTTTTATTTTCTCAAATTGACCCATGTCAAACTAAAACCAGTACATGTGTATTTGTTTGTAGTTTCAAAATGATGGATAAGTTGAATGCATTTAAACAAACTTGGTTCGATGCAAATAGAAAACCTACCTTTAGAACATGTTCTTGCTCGAGGAAAAGGGTGTTTGCTTTCGAGACTGTTGTTGGTATTTCTTCGAATAAGGCAGAGTACGTTGGCATTCTCATCACCATATCCTGAAATGGTTAAGTAACGTTGCAGAAAATTATATCTATGAAAAGCAACATATTAAAATTCGAGAACGAACGGGGTTTATTTTAAATTATATTTTAGTACATCTTAAAAACGTAGAGTTATATTCTGTCATTTTAGACGGTATAATGTTCATATTTCATGAGTGAACACCCCTCTAGCATCTTCAAAGTTTTATTTTCTTTACACATGTATCATGATATTTCAAAGTATGAAGTTCTATCATGATATTTCAAACTATAAAGTATTATTTACCTTAAGAGCATCAAGTTCCTTTCTTGTATCCTGACCATCAGAGTGAAGTGGCATTATCGGGTAGCGGGTTCTTACTTTACCAACTCCTCCACCAATAGATGGAAGAACGATACGGTTACCGGACGCAACTGTCTTACGAACTACACCATTTCTATCCAGCACTCCGACGGATCCTAGAATTGACATTATTCTGTTTATTCTTGTTCCTTTATTTCACTGTTCGACAAGACAACGTTTTACAAAAAAGAATCTTATTGGTATGTATTAACATCTTTCTTTCTCAGCGGAATTTATTTCCTTTATTTATATGATGAAATCAAACTTTAAATTATCAAACCTTTAGCTGTATCGGCTCGGTCGGATCCAACTGCCTTAGTTGTTGAGAAGAATTCGACTGGTGTTCTGTAAAAAGCCTTGCCATGGGTACCATTAAATGCCTTGTCTACTGTGAAACCACCATTACGTGTACCATTTGGACCATGTACGACACTGGCAATTGCTGGACCTCTTGATGACTCTAAAAGAAATATTATTAAATTCAATTTCTATAATTAGTAATCCAAAGATACATGGATATCTTATACTCCCATGAAAACAACCAACAAACAAATTAAATCTTAAAGTAATAAATACATATATACTAGGAATTTAAACCATTATACTGTGAATTCACTTAATTTCGTGGGCATGAAATTTCGTGGTTTTGTCACAAAGAACATTTCGGGGATTCTTAAATTCTGTTTATTTTTCAAAAAATGTAAAATGTAAAAATTGTGATGCAAAATATCTGACAGTAGACGAAATGAAATGTTTTGCATATTAAATTCGTGGGTTAATCTATCAACGAAAACAAACCACGAACATTAGTGCTCCACAAATAAAACTGATTTTGCGGTTTCATACCGACGTGATGCAGGTTGTAAGGGTTCCATTTTAGCAGCGGTGTCATGTACACGATCTCGAGTGGTACCGCCCATGTGTATCTCTCTTTCACCGTTTTACAAACCTCGTGTCTGTTGTGACCGTGTCCCGTTGTATGACAAGTCGTTACAGCTAGCCCAGAAATCTTTGGGTTTGTTGTCTGAAAGATAAATTAATAACATTTTACTATCATAATAACTTAAACGATTTATCGTTGAACTTCTCCTTTTCAATACTTTTTTAAATAAAACACAAATATTCAGTAGAAAAGGTGATGTTTTTCTTATGTCTTTTTATGTTATATGTCAATTTAGATAAGTACAGATAAGTGGTGATAAATAAAACATGTAAACTGGAAATATTATGATGCGAGGAAAACAATAAAAGCCACCTTTATAATGAAAATATCACTCATTTAAAACTCAATATAAATACAATTTTCGCAGTGATATTCGGAAGCGACATTTACATCTTAAATATCATTCAGTCCGAACATAGACACCAAATGACCTATCAATTTGATATGCACAATTACATTATTGTCTGTCATTTACTACTTTACTACTTTACTTTATATCAAAATAGCTACTTTTGATTAGGTTGACATTTGGTTCAACTCTTCAAAAATATATGATCTTAATATGTACATGGGAAATATATCTAGTATGGTACGAAGCGAATATTATCTGTATGTTCAAAGTCATTTTTGGGCAATTTAATTCTGAATGGTATGCACGTCACTCTTGACTTTTCATATTCATTATAGAGTGGATATAACATGAATATAGATGATCTTTAATCTGAAATAAAACTTCGACTCTAAATTCTGCGACCGATTTGTACTTAGGTGGTGCATCATGTTCTGCTGAGACTATGTTCACTATTGAAGTTGTCCTATGTTTTAATCACAGTTCATTAAATGCAAATATTCAAGACATGCGTGTTGAACTTGAAGTATATTAAGATAAGGTTAACTTTACATGTACATTATAAGATTACACATATAAAACATTTAATACTTTTCATTACATATTTCAAAAAAAGTCTCCACAAAAACATTGACTTGTGGTCATAGGTTGTGAGATTTGTAAAAAGGAAGCTTTCTAACATACCTGAGCAGCAAACATGTTCGGGTCAGAGAAACCTCTATGTACAACTTTGTTGCCCATAGCATCCTTTTCTACCACTTTGTAATATCTGAATGATAATAAATACTACAATATCATTGTCTTTATAAACATATCACTTATATAACAAGGTTCTGTATAATATCCAATTGTCAACGAATAGATGTTGAATAGAGAGTAAAAGCTGCACGCCTACAGATGAGCAAATAATATTTCAAGAAAATCAATATTTAGAAAAATGTACTAAAATTTTTAGAAAGGTAAAAATATTGAAGATCCAAGTTATATTTTACATGTTATGTGCGGTTTAAGACTGATTTTGAAGTATTTAATCACCTTATTTAAACTGCGTTACTAACGCAGTATGGGCTGTTTGTGGACCACTTTTTGGTATTTTTCTTGGATTGTAAGTGCCGATTGCAATATGTAAATTCTTTTTTTGTTCACCTCACAATATTTTACCTTTGAATACATTTCAAAAATTTTCATGAAAATTCACATGAATCTGGAGGTGTGCTGCTTTAATGTCTCTTTCTTTCGTAGAAACATCTGCATATTTAAAGCACATTTACACATGACGAACTTTTTATTAAGGTCCGATGTCTATAAATAATAGACAAAAGTCCTAAACAAATGTGTTGTGTTGTGCATGTCGCCCTGATATAAGTCACACATATTAAAAATTGGACATCTTCAACATAACGATAAAGCGATGACACGAAAAGACGACACTCCGGGACGGAGTTTCTAGACGATGAACCAGAGCAAGCACAAGGTAAAGCGATTAAACGTGAGACCAAATGAGCGCAAAAAATGCAAAAGCGACGGCACGGTGCTAGGGCACACTATTTTATGCGTCTTACTGAGGTGGATGAGAGGTCATCGATGGGATGAAACGATGACCCAAACGGAACGCCGTAGTTAAGCATTTTTTTGTCTTTGATAAGACTAATGATCCCTAATAAATGGGTAAATAATGACGTAGACGCTGTCGCCTTCTATACAGCTTTTAGTATATTTGTCACGTGAAAGGGTGTTTTCAAATGTGACGTCATAGAGAAAATGCATATATGGCGGATTAGGGTGTCAATTATTATCTTTAATGTACTGTTTTTATGCCAGAACAAGTCAGTTGTGTAAGCATTGGGATATATAGCATCACGATAGTCCTCAATTAGGTTCTGATAATGGTCTTATAATGAACAAACAATTGCATACACTGTCATATTTTGACAGCATTCGAATTTAGTTTTTCTTTTTGTAAGATGACGAAATCACAAACGGACAGTTACGTTTACATACACACATTATTTTCATACTCAATAGCATTTCCAAAACTCAAGCTCATAATGACACACCATTTATTCTGTTTTATTTTTCATAAATAACTACTTTACCTGTTGTATTGAGCGGTGTTAACTTTCACCATAGGTTCTGTGGTCGAGTGAATATCATACAACGTAAGTCCAAGAGCATCATCTGTAATCACAGCTCCATAGTTGTCCTTGCCAGGAATTTGGTACATCAAGTCATCTAGGAGACCCCAGTGATAACTCCTGTAGTGTTTTTTATAAGCAACATATTATACTAATGCTTTAATTAGTTAAACAATACAGATACATTTTTGTGAAGGTTAAAATAATCAGGATATATTGGTATAATAATTAAATAACATGAATATATCATATTGTATTCTAGACCGTCGTTGTAATGTTTTGCAAGGTTTTTACCTAGTTTAATTTTCATTGTGAAAAAAATGAATATTTTTTCATACGGTCCTATATAAACAAATCTAAAATGATTTTATTATAAGGTATACAGTCAGTAGTTGTAAACACCAAACAAAATCAATATTTGTGCAGTAACGTGCAAATATAGACAATTTGATTGCCTTAAAATTCACATCATAAATAAACACAATATTATTAATACACAAATGTTTGTTCTGGTGGTTGTATGAAATAAAAAAGTTAAAACCCAACCTTTCATGTACTGGTCTATGGTTCCTTGGTAACCTTTCCGCAAGAGTAAACCTTGCAACACGAGTTTCATTAACCCTGTCTAGTGGCATTTTACGCTGCATTCTGGTAAACAAAATAAAATCATAAAAATGTATTTTTACGCTAAATTATATCCATGCAATTTAACTGAACTTGAAAAAGCATGATTTATCGTTTTAGTAGCTACAGTAATATAGATCTATAGCACATCGTTTGATACTTCATAGACTGCCTAATCTGGACTCTTTTTAATGTGAATTGAGGAACGCCATATGAGAAATCTTATTTCCATTTGCGCTCGGAGTCACAACTTTGTGAATGGGAGTCCAGTATTTTAATTATTTACTTTTTTTGTCTCCATAGTTTTTTTTTGCAATCATTCAATAGCCAAAAGCCTTTCAAAGAACACATTTAATTGTCACATTTGAATCAGAATGATTTACTATGAAAGAATGATACACATTCGTACAAATGAAAATATTCAGAAAGAAAAGAATATATTTTAATTTGTGCATCAAATACCTTATTGAAACATCGTCTTCAAGTTTGAATACTGCTGTTGGTAGATCATCTTTCAAGGGATGGCACGCGATTCTGTAAAATAGTAAATGTTCTATAACACCTGATGTGCCTCTAAACGGACATTAGTAATAAACGCATGATAACCTATCATATACCAATTTCATTATCATATATATTTAAGCACACTGTATTTATATAGAAAGTACACTATTATCTAAAAGTGTTTTTTTTTCTTCAAATTGTGCTTTATTTGCGTGTATATTATATTGATGAGTAATTTCCTCACCACTTTACTACTTTATGTTTTAACAAGTAGATTTACCATCTTTATTCAAGATATTTCTCACGAAAAAGAGCTTTAAAATTATTAATGAATCCCTAGAGTATCTACTTCTAGTATGAAATGAAAATGGTTAAATATTTATTCAGTTCTGTTTAAACATATGAGCAGCGTCACGAGAAAACCAACATAATGGGTGTGCGACCATTATGTTGGTTTTGTCGTGACGCGGCTCATATATTTAATTAAACCTTTACCCGATGTATGTAAGCCCTACTTTGAGTTTAGAACAGTCAAAAGTATTCCAATATCAAAATATAAAATTGAGCAACCAACAGCATAGAGTCTGGTCGAACTGCACAGATGTTTAGACTGACCTGGTTGTATACGTGTGGTTAAAGTCTAATCGCTGTTGGTTCCAAAGTGTCGAGAGTTAAACAAGTTTATCACTAACCTGTAGTTCCATTGAGCATATTCAGGTGTTCCGTTTACAACATTCATAATTGTTGTTGGCAGGTAGGCAAAATTTTCCAGATTGCTCTTGCCACCAGAGTAGGAAGTGAATCGGACCTTTATGATGAAACATCAAAACCTTATCAACAATCTATTAATTGCGTCAGTTTGAAAATAAACCCCACCATTTTATGTCTAAATCATAATTATTATCCAGACTGTAACTTGTATGTATTTAAAATAAGACAAATTCTATCCTTGTGATAAACTATAAATTAGCTTAAAAGCACTTGCTTACATCGATTTTTTAATTTAAATGCCTTTTTATATCTAAATCACATAAACTGTTTGTCTAAAAGTGCCACAGAATATTTATTTTGATAAAGATAATAAATAAATTTTCAGATTGCATCAAAGTATTATTCAAGGGAAGAAACTGTTATGCATCCAGGTAGATGAAAACCGTTTTCTTTCCCTTTAACAGAAAGAGAAGCATATTGGAATTTTCATGGATGCCAATTTTAAATGTATTGTCGTATCGTATAGCTTATGGCATGAATACAGACAACAGTTAGGGGATAGGCTCTCATATCATCTTGCACGACCTTACGGTTTTTTTTCTGTGAATTTAATTCGCATTAAACTCTAAATTACACAATATTCACAATGGCTATTATATCGTAATTTGTTAAAAATACACTGTGGTATATCCATTCAACTTTTCAGATACAATATTTTTAAAAACATTTAAAAAATTATTTAATTTTTACACCCAAACAAAGCGAAACCCCTTGCCTGGAGATAAAACCCAACTGGAACGAAATCAATAAAATCCCTTCACGGGAAAGGGGTTCTTTTTATTTTAGTTTGCAAAGTAAGCCACCCCAGTAAGCCCAAATACTGGTTTAAAATTTTTCCCTGAGTCACGGAGGGAAATGTCCAAATTCTTGAACGTTTTATGATAAAAAAGGGAAATAAAATTTTATTCTTTTTCATTGAAAAACCGGGGAAAAGATACAAAATGAATCAATAACTTATTTAGTGTCATCATTTACTTTCATACAATTTCTTGTCTTCTATACAGCTACTATCAAATGCTATTCCATTATACATTCGGAATTCAAATAACATGCATTTTACGGGAAAGAATTTACAGCTCAATATATACAAATTAAAAAAATAGAACAGTAGCAGAAGTACACAGTAACCTTTGAACCATTCTTGCATTTCAGTTATCTGTTCGGCGATAGTTTTCTTGGCAAGAACCTGTGGTGGTACATCAGGGTATGGTATATCTACTACTTTGTTATATGTCGTGTCATTTTTTACAGGCATGCGCAGTCTGTAGTCGTTATGTCTTGTTCGGAATTCTACACCATTGAGAACAAAATTTAATTCTCCCATACCAACAGTTCTGCAAAATACCCCAGATTTTTAGTCTGATTTATTTTCATTTTCACATACATGTTTTTCCTTTTTGTCGATGCCCCGATTTATCTGTCTTTGACAAAGCTTTTAACTTTAAAAACAAGTTACTATTTCTTTATGTAAAAAGAATGATGGAGTTCAAGTTTATATATGATTAATTAATGTTGCTTAAATAGGGCGAAGACATACTTACGATAAATATAAGACAATTCTATTTTAACAAACCTGCTGTTACTAGCATGCTCATGGATACCGGCTACACCATTACCTATGTAATTAGCAGTGTAGTATGGTTTTGGGCCGTTGACATTGTTTCTGACCTAAAACGAGAACAGATAAATCACAATGTGGATAGTAAATGAAAATGATAGGTAACCAAAAATATACAATATTTCTTGCATATTTTTTAAAAAACAATTTTCATTTTTTTGTCAGGTATCATATTATAAACAATCCTAGAAATATGATAATTGATGTCCTTTATTCGTGTATAAAACTAATTTTCATACTTAAATCATTTAATAATTATGTCAAAACCAAAAAAGGCAATTTCAAATAATAATATGATTTATTAGAGCTAGCAGACACGTAAACAACGATAAGTCAAATACAAATTACAAATTGAAATTATGTATCAGTGTTATGCAGGACTACACATAAACACTATACAACATCAATGAAAATAAATGTTATTTAATCAAAGATAGAATGAACTATTCATGAGAAATACAGAATGAATAGGAACAAAACCGCTTTAACAAATGATAGAATATATAAGCGGAAATAATTAAAAATGAAACATAAACAGATTAAAAACATGCAATACAGAACTAAACAAGCTAAACAATAAAGAACACAAAAAGGGCGGGAGGGAGTGGCAAATTTGAAGAAAACAACCGACTGGAAACGTGTCTTGACAAAAACTGTAACTAAAAGGCGCCAAAACCTAACTTAAATACAGTTTGGCGTAATGATACAAAAGTGACCCTTGACCTAACTGGTGAAGTAACCAATCAAAAAGGTTGTTTATTGATATACAACAAATGAAATGGAGTAATAGTACAAAAATGACCTCTGACCTATATAAAGAACAACCAATGAGAAAGGCTGTTTTATCCATAATTAAAAGATTTTATTGTAAACAAAATGCTTCAAATTAACACCAATTGTTTCTTTAAACCAATATCTTACTCCAAGTCAATTAGTAACGCTACAAAACATTCCTTAAGTAAGTTTTATTTAGCAGCCCCAAGGGTTTTACCCGGTAGTAAATTCTCTAAAACCCCAAACAGTAAAAGCTATAATAACATGGTATTTCCTTTTTTCAGCCCTGGCTTGTCAGTCTTTCTTTTCCCACAAATGTTGTTGCAAAAAACCTGACTTGTAAAATCCCTACTTGGCGCTTAGTGATAGCATTCTCTGCCAGTAACTCTATAAATACATTCTGCTTACTAAACAATGCACTCAAAATATGTTTTTTACCCCGCTTGGCATTTTATAGCTGAACTTAGCAATGCACTCAAATATGTTTTAACTCCGCAAGGCATATTGTAACTACTCGTATAAACGCATCTGATCAAAATGTTTCGAAACTTGACAACATCCATTCTATAACGAACGCATTGTCGTTATTAACGTAAAGTATATGATGAAAATAACGAAATAATTAAAAACCGTATGAATTACTTTGAGGAAAGGTATATTATAAAGAGTTGTATTGTTATATTAACCAGACTGACTGCCTAAGAACTGCCTTAAATATTTATTTATGAGGTCATTGTATCGATTTTGGAAATTCCGAAAGGTTTTCTCCCGTTGATGTCAAACATATTTGAAAAATATGTTAAAACATATTCTAATATATTTAGTTTTACAAAACAATGCATATTTTGCTAGTACTGTTTGGTTTTCAGAGCGACTCTATTGGCGTATAGCTTCCTACATACTTTAACTAAAATTAATTTTCTTTTAAGTAAAACGTCTACTTCTGGGCATAAAGAAACATAATGTAGATTTTGATGACTGATGAAGAAAATGTATGCCATCCCTTGTACACTGCTAAATATATGTTATCTCTATTATTGTTGTATATGTAATCATTAACTTTAGCAAAAGGCTACATGTCCAACCCTTATGAAGTTGCCAGAATGTAGTTCAAATTGATAAACATCTACAGATGCATTAACTCGACAACTAGGTTATCTGATTTCTTCTTTTGGTAAGTAGACCTTTTATATTATCTGTCTGGTTGATGTTCCTATTTAATGACATTAAAATGTTAACGTGTAACAGTAACTAAAAAATCATTGTTTATAACAACTTTTTTTATTCTAATGCTTAATATATATTTGAGCCACTTGTAATTGCATTAGTTTCTCGTGAATGTAAAATGGCTACATTATATTAGGAAGTAGATAGATAGATAGATTTATTTCGGCAAAGGAAGCATATACATAGTTGACAATATAACATAGGATAAAATAATGAGCATTATTAAATACTATATCACATACGAGTAAAACTATGACATGCTCACCAAAACCAAGGATAACACAAAAAAGGGCAAAAAAGCTCTTATTTCCATTGTGGTCCTTTTGTATTGGCGGCATGACATAGAGAGGCAAAAACCTTAATATGATCATGTTTAAAAATACTAAATAAATCATAAAAATGTATATCACAGTCAAATCTTGAGTTAATGATACTCCTGTTTACAGCTAGGATTTAAAACACATTACTAAAATTGTAATAAGATAAAATAGATCCTGAGCCGAAATATGTAAAAACATGTTAAAAAAAAATTTTAAATACTGTTTCATAGATGACTTTTGATGGGCAACCTTAAAACTTTGTAACCTGTTGATCTCCGTTAACTTTACAGGTAAATCATTCCATAATTTAATACCAGCGAAAGCAAATGATTAGAACCCTGGCCTTTGACCTTAGGTAGACAATATCCACCCTTTTGACTAAGTCTTGTACTATAATTATGAAATGGAATCTTGTGAAATAAAGTGTTCAGACACATGTAATCCGGAGATAGGCCCATTTTTTATCTTAAAAACATGACACAACATTATCTGTTCAACTCTTTTGTGGACCGGTAACCAGTTAAGGGACTTAAGTGGGATGGGTCAATGTGGGCTCTAGAGTCCAAGTCAAGTACAAATCTCATTATTTTGTTTTGACAAGTTTGTAACTTATTTTTTAAAGACTGTGTCAAGCTATTATACCAAACAGAGCATGCGTAATCATAGTGACACTGAATAAGAGACATAACCAGAAGTTTCTTGGTATGCTGAGTAAGAAACTCTTTCTTGCGGTAAAGAAATTTTAACCGAGAGTTGGCCTTCTTAAGAACAGACTCGGCCATGGCGCAAAAAAGTATCTTAATTCATTTCGCGGCCTTTTAATCCTATATTGGAAAACAAAATAGTTTTCTAGCTGGAAGAAGATTGTTCAACTGTGAAAAGAAAACGTTCGATAGTCAAGCAATTATCTTTGTTTTAGTGATGCGAGACATCCAGAAGATAAATACTATAGGTAAAGAATATAGGTACATTTTTGTATATAATATATCATCAAATACTCGGTTTTAATTCATTTGAACCTGACTTTGTAGCAAATATGGGAGCCTACTAATCTAATATGCCAGTAAGTCCCAACATTAATATTAATTTCACAACTTTGCACGTGTGGATTATTTTTTTATGATGCAATGCTACAACTCAATATTTTTTTCCGTGTGTAGTCTTTCTTTTCGTCAAAGCAAGAAATGGTTGAGCTAAACCATGCACATGTGGAATCTCCTAGCAATATCTATATATCTATAAAGCGAGTAATTAATAAGATGACTATAACCAGTCATGAATTTTTACATCAAACTTCGTCTAAAAAATACATTGCATTTTGGAATACACGAAGATCCAGCAAATTTGAATCTTGGAGCAAATACATAAATTTTGTGAATATTCGCTTGTTGCATTTATTCTTTGAAGAATGGTGTAATGGGTACAGACTTTCTACAGTAAGAAAACAAACTAATCCTTGAACCTACAAGATGTAAATCACCATTAACATGGCCTCGGTTCTTAAATTTTATTCCGAATTTAAATGCATATTTTATATATATTAAGCTTGTCAAAGAACATTGCAAAAATAATGTTTGAGCTTTTGATTTTTCAAAAAAAAAAATACAACAACAAAAAACAACAACATTCAATTCAAAAAATCATGCAGTAAAACTTAAGATACTCGCTTTAAAAAAAATTCTTATGGCATGTAAAACAATATAATGTAAGAGAGGACATTTAAAACAATGTTTGTCAGTATACAGTAGGACATAATAACGAAGCACAATAAACGTGTAATAGTGTGTCAAATATTACCAAGATACAAAAAAATTAATACAAATGTTGCTAGATACACTTTATATGCTATATGCCACCTATTCTTTTTTACTCAGCTCAGATAATTGTCTTTCAGGTGTAAAACGAGACTTCGAACACGCCGATACATTTATGCAGGTTTACAATATTTAGGTCATTATTTTCACGCTCTTTACAAAGAAAATGTTAGATTATCAATGCTTTTTATTACCTTGTATGAGTTGATGGTCTGGTTTTGGGGTTGTAGTTGTGTGCCTTGATGTGTGGAGTGTGCCCCCATGCACAACTAATGACATAACAACTTGAGCAAGCTGTATATCAGGCAGTATGGAAAAGAAAAGTCAAAACGAGCAGAGCACTTTATGCTATATTTTTGTAAAATTGCGCAAGTGAGAGAGTTAATGCATCTGACCATTAATTCAGTGATGACAATGTGAACATATATTAATAGAGAAGTTCTTATTCAGAAAAGCCATTAGCCTCTCCTAATATTATTTAATTTTCTAATATTCGAAGTATACATATATTCTGATACATGTTTTCAAGAGAGAAATTTGTAATTTCACAAAACTTTAAGTCTCCATTTCTATTCTTTGACTATCTGCTAAAAAATTAATCATTTGGAATAAGGAAGAAAATGACATAATTTCGAAATATATCACCATGTCTCGATTTAATCCGTCTGTTATGATGCCTTAAGAATACTTGCTTTGGTTTTATATGAGCTGATAAGGACACCACCTGGCGGTTAACACATTAACTAAGTGACCCGAAAATTGTGAAAATTTCAGTCAAGGTTTCACTCACTAGAATAGTGCTATATTTAATCAAACTGACAGTCTAAGTTCAGTTTCTGTTGACTTGTGGTTTCTTAAAGTGCGTACTACATGTACTTATTTGTTATATCATAAATAGTTCTAAATAAATACAGTTCGTAATAGATATACCAAACATTACACATTCTTAACCCTTTACTTCATGAGTATATTGTGAAATATGAAAATTGAAAAGCCTCCTGTTACAAGTTCAAACTGCTATGGAACTATGAAAAATGCTTCAATACTAAGGAAACTTGGCACAAATAATATCTAGACTATGGCCTTTGATCATATTTTTCATCAACATTTTTCAAATGAAAAAAGAGCCTTTTTCACTGTTTGAGGTCTCAAAAAGGGGGGGGGGGGGGGTGGATATATGAAGTAAAGGGTTAATATTCTTTAACAGTTTGGTACTCCGAGTGAAATGTAATTTCAGAATCTCAACAAGGGAAGTATATGCGATTGCATACAAATCAAAAACATACATGCTATTGATATGGGAGGGTCTATTTTAAATATAGATGTTTTAAGTTTAGTAAAACGGAAATTTAAACAAAGACATCTATGTTTGAAATGACGTCTCATGTGGAAATTGTTCAGTATTTGGTGTTTGATTTACTACAAGTGTGTATAAAAGTCAAGCAGAATCCTTAATAATTAATTTTCCAGGAGTGATATAGTTAGGATGAATAAAAGTTGCACTGTTTGAGTTAAAACACTTTATTATCGGGAGAGAGGTCTTTATTAAAAAATCATAAAGTAATATGTAAGATAGTGTGTCTCCGAAGTTCTTTTAAAATTTGAACTCCTAGTCGTACAGTGATAAGTACAGTGAAATGTCGGAAACACAGCACGGGACAAATATTTTTTATCATTATCACTATACTTGTACAAATACATGCCAATGTTTATTA